ACCTCAGAGATTTCCCCGTTAACTCACCGCCTCCACGCAGGCATGGGGCCCCTCTGTCACCAAAATCTCCCAGCAGCTGAAAGACCTCCGTCCACACATCGTTATCTGCCATTACAGCATAATACAGTTGTTCCACTGTCTGAAAAATCAGCTGTGCCCCACTCATCCACCCCTTGCCTCTATCCCAGGCAGCCCTTGTTTTTTTTTGTTTTTTTTTTTTTTTTGGTTTTTTTTTTTTTTTTTTTTTTTTTTTTTTTTACTGTTTCTGTAGTATTGCCTTTATCAGAATGTCACAGAGTTAGAATCTTATACTATGTGGCCTTTTCAGATGGGCTTCTTTTCACTTAGGGATATATATTTAAGTTTCCTCTTGATAGTTCATTTGTTTTCATAGTTGTTTTTTTTTTTTTAAGATTTATTTATTTGAAAGTTGGAGTGACAGAGAGGCAGAGAGAGAGAGAGAGAGAGAGATATCTTCCATCAACTGGTTCACTCCCCAGATGGCTGTAACAGCTGGAGCTGGGCCAATCGGAAGCCAGGAGCCAGCTCCCCGACTCTTCCAGGTCACCCATGCAGGTGCAGGGGCTCAAGCACCTGGACCATCTTCTACTGCTTTCCCAGGCCATAGCAGAGAGCTGGATCGGAAGTGGAGCAGCAAGGTCTGGAACCGGCACCCACATGGGATGCCGGCACTGCAAGCAGAGGCTTTACCTGCTATGCCACAGCACCGGCCCTGGACATAACTTTTTAATTCCTTTGGGTAACTGCTGGGTCCTCTGGAAGGAGTATGCTTAGTTTGGTAAGAAACTACCCAACTGCCTTCCAAAATGGATATGTAATTTACATTCCCACGGGCAGTTAATGGGCATTCCTCCAGCTCCATACCGTCACCTGCATTGGGATTGCCAACGTTCTGGATTTGGGCCATTCTAACAACCCTGTTGGTAAGTATCTCAAGTATTTTAAAAATACATTTATTTGACAGAATGACAGAGAGAGGGGGAGTCTCCTATCTGCTGGTTTACTCCCCAAGTGGCCACACAGCCAGGTCAGGGCCAGGCTGAAGCCGGGAACCTGAAACTCCACCTGGGTCTCCACATGGGTGGCAGGGCTCCTCCCCAAAGTGCTGCCTTTTATGCAGACCTGAGATTCGGACTTTTACCTTTTCCTTCTCTCTACAAAACTTCTTGGATGTATCTTGCGAAACAAGTCAACTAGCAAAAATTCTCTCAGCTTTTCCTTGTGATGCGAGTTGTTTCTCCTTCGTTTTGAATAATAATTCCATGGGTGCAACGTTCTAGTTTGGTCTTTTCACTGTCTCTCGACACTTTACTCACTCCACTTTGCCTGCTTTCATGGTTTCTGAGGAGAAACCAGACTGAATGTTATCTTACCCCATGACAGACAGGTAGGGGGTTGGGGTTTGGTTTTTAATCCACTGGCTTTTTTTGGGGGGGGCCTTCTTTGCTAATTAAAAAAATTACTCTTTTTTTTTGGAAGGCAGAGAAGGAGAGAGAGAGAGAGAGAGAGAGAGAGAGAGAGAGAGAGAAATCTCCCAGCTGCTGGTTTATACCTCAAATGCACTCAAGAACCCAGGCTGGGCCAAAGCCACAAACCCAGAGTTTAATCCAGGTCTCCCAGGTGGATCATAGGGATTCAAAAACTTGAGCTTCACTTGCTGCATCCCAAGGTGCGTATTAGCAGGAAGCTGGATGGGAACTGGCACTGGGTCTTGGTATCAGGCACTTCAATATGGAATGTGGGGAGCCAACACTGTGGTGTGGTAGGCCAAGCCTCCGCCTGCAGTGCCGGCATTCCATATGGGCAATGGTTCAAGTCTCAGCTGCTCCACTTCCAATCCAGTTCCCAACAAGTCCACCTTGCAAAGGAGCAGAAGATGGCCCAAGTGCTTGGACCCTGCACCCACATGGGAGACCCAGAAGAAACTCCTGGCTTCTGGCTTTGGTCTGGCCCAGCCCTGGCCATTGAGGCCATTTGGAGAGTGAACCAGCAGATGGAAGATCTCTCTGCCTCTCCCTCTTTCTCTAACTCTGCCTTTCAAATATGAAATAAATACATCTTTTAAAATATGTGGAATACATGAGTCCCGAGTGGCAACCACTGCGCCACACGCCAACTCTGATATTTTTATGATCTTCTGTAGTTTTTTTTTTTTTTTTTTGACAGGCAGAGTGGACAGTGAGAGAGAGAAACAGAGAGAAAGGTCTTCCTTTGCCGTTGGTTCACCCTCCAATGGCCGCCGCGGCCGGCGCGCTACGGCTGGCGCACCGCGCTGATCCGTTGGCAGGAGCCAGGAGCTTTTCCTGGTCTCCCATGGGGTGCAGGGCCCAAGCACCTGGGCCATCCTCCACTGCACTCCCTGGCCACAGCAGAGAGCTGGCCTGGAAGAGGGGCAACCGGGACAGAATCCGGCGCCCCGACCGGGACTAGAACCCGGTGTGCTGGCGCCGCTAGGTGGAGGATTAGCCTAGTGAGCCGCGGTGCCGGCCGATCTTCTGTAGTTTTCAAGTGATATACTTCAGTGTAGATGGTATTTTTGCCATTTATTATACTTGGTGTTCTCTAGCTTCCTGGGGCTGTAGCTTGGTGTCTGACATTAATTGCAGTAAATTCTCAGTCAATACTTTCTCTAATATTTCTTCTGTTCCTTTCCTCTCTTTCTGGCATTCCTATTACATGTATGAAATATAAAGATATCTCTTGTAGCTCTCCCACAGTTCTGGGATATTCTATCATTTCTTTCCCCAATTTTGTTCTCTTTTGCTTTTCAGTTCTGGATGCTTCTACTGATTTTTTTTTAAAGCATTTATTTGTTTATTTGAAAGACAGAGTTACACAGAGAGAGGAGAGGCAGAGAGAGAGAGAGAGAGAGGTCTTCCATCCACTGGTTTACTCCCCAATTGGCCGCAACGACCACAGCTGCGCCGATCCGAAGCCAGGAGCCAGGAGCTTCTTCCTGGTCTCCCATGCAGGTGCAGGGGCCCAAGGCCGTGGGCCATCTTCCACTGCTTTCCCAGTCGATAGCAGAGAGCTGGATCAGAAGTGGAGCTACCGGGTCTGGAACTGGCGCCCCTATAGGATGCCGGCACTGCAGGCGGCAGCCTTACCCGCTATGCCACAGCGCAGGCCCCTGGATGCTTCTATTGATCCTTTTTTTTTTTTTTTTTTTTAATTTTTTGACAGGCAGAGTGGACAGTGAGAGAGAGAGACAGAGAGAAAGGTCTTCCTTTGCCGTTGGTTCACCCTCCAATGGCTGCCGCGCTGATCCGATAGCAGAAGCCAGGTGCTTCTCCTGGTCTCCCTTGGGGTGCAGGGCCCAAGCACTTGGGCCATCCTCCACTGCACTCCCAGGCCACAGCAGAGAGCTGGCCTGGAAGAGGGGCAACCGGGACAGAATCCGACGTCCCAACGGGGACTAGAACCCGGTGTGCCAGTGCCACAAGGCGGAGGATTAGCCTAGTGAGCCACGGCGCTGGCCTCTATTGATCCTTAAGCTCAGACTCTTTGCTCGAGCGTACTCCAGCTCCTAAGTCCATCAAAGCAGTCCTCATTGCCGCCATTGTCTCATCTCTAATGCTTCTTTTTGATTCCATCTTAAACTTTTCATCTCTCTGCTTCCGTGATCCATTTTTCTTGCATGCTGGCTACTTCATCCACTGGGCGCTGTTAGCGTACTGATTATCATCGTTCCAAAACCAGTCTGACAAAGTCTACATGGCTGCCACATCTGAAGCTGGTTCTGACACTTGCTCTGTTTCTTCAAAGGGTGTCCTTTGTCTTGTAATTTTTTTTTTTTTTTTTTTTTTTTTTTTTTTTTTTTTTTTTTTTTTTTTTACTTGAGAGTTGCACACATGACCTAGGTAAAAAGACCTTCTGAAAGTAGGCTGCAAAGTGGCAGTAAGGTGGTGGGAGAGGGAGTTCTCTGTGTCAGCGTATAGGCCTGCAAAGTTCGCCAGTGCAAAGTTCGCCACTTAGGTGGGACAGGATGGCTCACGTGGCCCAGGGTTTGGGCCTGGGTCCACTTCCCTAGTCCTGGGTCAGCCAGGCTGTGCTGCCGCCTCAGTTTCTGGGGGTGGGCCCCATTAAGGGGAACAGAGTGCTCTGGCAAATTCTCAAATGATTCCTGGTCCCTTTCCTTGCTTGAAAGCTTGAAGGGATTTTTCTGTTAACTTTACATGAGAATTGGCCAAATTCCTAGAAGCAACACTTAGAAAACTGAGGGTCCCTTTTTATCCCCTCCCAGTGCCTGGCTCCCCTTGGAGTTTTTAATCCCTCAGACTTGTGCACACTGAGCCACCAGCCATGGCTCACAGCCAGTAGAGATCCCTGTAGAGGGTTCTGTTCATGGGCTTCTGCTCCGTGAGTTGTGATTCTCCATCTTCATGTCTGTCCAATTTTGGAAGCAGCAGGCTGCCCTATGAGCTCAGCCCCTTGAGTCTCTGATGGATCCAGGAAGAGTTCATGATTTTTCAGTTTGTTCAGCTTTTGACTCGTTATTGGGATGGAGGGGCGACTTCCAAGCTCCCTACAGGCCAGACTAGAAACCAGAAGTTAAGTTGTAACATTCAAAAGAAAAAAAATTTAATCATCTCAATAGTTTTTTTTTTTTTTTTAAAGAGAGATGTATTTATTTGAAAAGGCAGAGTTACAGAGAGGCAGAGAGAGGGAGAGAGAGGGAGAGAGAGGGAGAGAGAGCTCTTGCATCCGCTGGTTCACTCTCCAGATGGCTGCAATGCCCAGGGCTGGGGCAGACTGAAGCCAGGACCCTGGAACTCCATTTGGGTCTCCCACATGGGTGCAGGGCTCCAAGGACCTGGGCCATCCTCTGCTACTTTCCCAGGCACGTTAGCAGGGAGCTGGACTCAAACTGGCACCGACATGGGATGCCAGTGTTGCAGATGGCCACTTAACCTCCCACACCACAGTGCCAGCCCTTCAATAGTTCTTGTAATACCACACATACACATACAAACAAGAAATGCGTTTACTAAAAAAAAGTTTATTAATTTTTACACCTGCTGGGTAGCACAAGACTATTAACACTATAACTCACTGAATGTACAATAAATGTTCACATTTAAATAACAGGATAGGGTCAACATTTTTGACCAATGGGTCAGCTTTAGCATCTCATGAAGTGCTTTTTAGCCCTAGACATCTTAAAGAGTTTTTTTTAAAGGGGAATTCCAGGTCAAAAAACAATTCAAGAAGATCAAAACAATAGGTTTCCCAGAATAACAGGAATCTTACATGATGAAATGTCTATTTCTGTGGGCATGAATCAAACAATAAAAATGTAAAATCTACAGCCAACCTACCCCAAAACACTCCCACTGCACTGAATGAAGTCTACAGTGTCAGCGTGTCTTGAGAGAGGTCGCAGTATAAACGCTGGCTACACACGTTGTCCGTCAAGCGGCTTTGCATCTGCCATCTCTTGCAAATCTATCCCCTTGGAATGAATGTGCAGAATACCTGATCTTAAAGCAGTGTTATTTGGTTTGAGTTGCCACCAGCATCTCTGGCTGATTATTTATAAATTAGTTTTAGAGTCTCTATTTATTTCACACAAGGACCAAAAAAAAAGGGGGGGGGGACTAGAAGGGAAAGAGACAAAGAGGTCCCTTCCCAATATTTCAATATTTTCCTTTGTGTATTTTAGAACATGAAATAACTGGCATAAAATAAGCATTCCATTCTGTGATCGCTTGCAGTTCCAACCAATGGGTTCTTCCTGAGAAGAGCAGACATACCTTGCTGGTTCAAATAAAAAAAGGCCAAGTATAAGTGATAAGAGCTGACTGTGGACCCCTGGGGATAGTCTTCACCAAGCAAGTCTTCCCAGGACAGACACTGGAATCCTTGCAATTAATACACAGTGGGACTTTGGGAACCCAAGTCCCTGTTCTGTGACTCGGGGTCAACGTTTTCTGTTGAAAATATCAACAGTACTTCTTTGTCACCAAAGAGACAGGGTGCATTTTCAGTCTCTACACATTGATGAAGTAATTTTCTCAAGTTCTCTTAATGCCCAAATCTTCAGGGATAACGACATGAATGAGGTCTCAAAAATAAAGTGCAAAATCTACAGATTAGTAGTTATTTGGACAGAATGGTTTGTTTTTCAGGAAGGTAGCTTTATCATAAAGATGCTTCTATACTTCTTTTCATCAAACCAGTTTTGACCCCAAAATGTAAATAAAATAGTTAACTTCAGATGAAATCAAGTTGGGTCTTTCTATTCTGGAGTGATGGATTCTACTGTGCAACAGTTATCCTAAAAATATGCTAGCAGGTCACAAAAAGTTGCGAAAATACATACTGATTTTTTAAATCAGCATGCCATTTTATGGCAATTGGAATGTACAGTAAAAAGAAGGGAAATACCTCTTCCTGTTGAATTCATAGCAGTCGGGACTCCCAAGCAGGAACAAAGAAGAGAAAAACTACTGTCCAAGTGGATTTTCTCTTCCTCTCCCAACTGACAGTCACAAAGATTAGATTCCTTCCAGATCCCTTATAATCCCCTTACTGCATTATAAATGGTCCCCACATGCTTGTTCTTCCCCTCAGGGTGCATTTGGTCACCTGACACAAAGGGATGGAGGCGTTACACTGCTCAAAGTCAGTAGTGTTTTGAAATAAGGAAGGCCACCTTTCTGCCTGACATTAGAGAACGTTCATTTTAAGACAGCATTGAAGTTCTAGAACACTCTGAGTGCTGTGAGCTCTAGAGCTAAATGCATACTTGGCAAGGACAAGGATTCATCCTTTACCAGTGAATGCTGAACGGATCCTACAAGTAGGATAAGGTTCCAGGACTCTCCCTCTCTTTCTCCATATATAGTTCTCATCATTTTTCTTGGTACCCAGATCTCCTTCTTAATCCAAGTACAACCAGATAATGGGAGGTGAAGGTTTCAGCTCTGTTGACATCAAGCCCCCACGCACCATGGTGGAGAAATGTGTCAGTATCTGTCAGGACATGAGGTTCTGACCAGACCTGCTGAGGGCTGGCCTCCCTGCAAAGATTGCCCAACAGCCCAACAACAATTTAAATTAGTAATTAAAAAAAAATTTAGGTGATAGTTTTTCCTTTAGAACATCACTGTCAAATTTTTGTTGCTATAGTTTTCTTATTTGATTAGGTTCCCTTTGTTAAAATACCGAAAAGTCCAAGCCACACGATAAAGTGGTTCTGACCTGATATGTACCCATGAAATGCCCCTTCCCCTTTAACCCCACAGCTTGGAATCAAGAAGCCCACCAACCGTGGACTAGGTATAACCCTTCTCCACCTTCAGTATAAACGCAGTAAGCCACTTGATATTTCCACAAAGGGAAAGTAAGGCTTATCAATATGCTTTTTTAAAAAAATAATAAAAAAAAAGAAAAAAGAAAAGAAAAGAAAAGAAAGGAAACCAATTCAAGAACAAGGCAAAATTTCTCCATCTTGCAAATCTACTTTCCTCTGAAAGAGCTTCATTCTGTGGCAGGAACCCCAAGGGCTCAGAGTCAAGTCGATTTGGTAAAGACAATGTTGGCAAGATAAACCCCATGGTGTGTCTGAGTGTCAAAACGGTAGCTTCCAAACTCTTCGAGTGAATAATAAACCTTACAAAAGAGTTCCGGGCGTCGGGAGTTTCCGGGCTTAGGGCTGAGAAAAGACGCGATGTGACTGCTCGGGTGCAGGGCCAGGCGGAGTTAAGGTTTGGTGATGTGCACTTCGCTGTCTCCGTTCCCGTTGGTGGTGGTGGTGATGATGTACTGTGTGGTCTGCTGCTGGCTGGTGGGCTGGGCGTCCAGGGCCTCACTCTGCGCAGACGCTTGAACCTGGACTCCGCCGGAGAGGGCCGAAGTCTGCTTTTCCTCCAATTCTGGTTGACTTTCGGATAACACGTAATGACCCTGAAGGCAGCAGAGGAGAGTCGTCTTTAAACTCTGGGGCTTCGGAGGAAAAAGGGGAAAGAGTAGGGAAGCACAGAGGGGGGCGTGTGCACAGAAACTTTGCGAGGGGACACCAAGTGGGCACCCGTGAGAGGCGTGTTACCTAAGTGCTTTACAGAGGACGGTGGCTCACTGTGACTGACTACAAAGGTAATTCAAGGGCGCACCTTAAGGACAGACTGTGGAACTTCAGGTACAGAAATTTGCATCAAGGTGGTAACCTACATGGCAAAGAAAACACCTGCTACTATGCTGCTCCCAAGGGTTTGCAAATGCAGAGATGATTAGTATTCATCAGTTAAATGCTGAGATTAATACAAAATGGATCAAAGAAGTAATACTTCAAGTCAGCGCAGAGCGGCCCCTACAACGGGCCAAGTTTAAGGTCAGTGGTTCCCAGATGTCGGAATTTCAAAGACCAGCAAAATTTAAAATAATGATAAACAGCCCCCAAAACTGCATTTGTCAATTTAAAACATGCTACTCATCAGAGAAGACACTTTAACACTCCAGGAGTTAAGAATGCGATCTTATCATGAAGTTCCTTTCATTGAACAAATTAGCTTTATGGAAACTCACACCATCTTTCTTTTTTCCCTCGGGTCTCTACAGAGACCAGTAACTGGCTAGCATGCTGACATTTTAAAAGAAGGAGTGTGGGGCTGGCACTGTGGTGCAGCAGGTAAAAGCCCTGGCCTGGAGCGCTGGCATCCCATATGGGCGCCAGTTCTGGGCCCGACTGCTCCACTTCCAATCCAGTTCTCTGCTATGGCCTGGGAAAGCAGTGGAGGATGGCCCAAGTCCTTGGGCCCCTGCACCCACGTGGGAGACCTGGAAGAAGCTCCTAGCTCCCAGCTTTGGATTGGCGCATCTCTGGCCATTGCGGCCATCTGGGGAGTGAACCAGCAGATAGAAGACCTCTCTCTCTCTGTCTCTACCTCTCTCTGTAACTCTGTCTTTCAAATAAATAAAATAAATCTTAAAAAAAGAAAAGGGGTGGGGAGTGTGTTATCATCCATCAGCTACAGAAGCAGAAGAAAATGGGCAGGCATTTGGAACAGCTGTTAAGATGATGCTTGGGATGCCTGCATCCACATCGGAGTACCTGGGTCTGGGTTCCAGCTCTGCTCTCCACTGCATCTCCCTGCTAAGGCATGCATACAACAGGTGACGGCTCAAGTACCTGGGTTCCTGCCACTCGGAGAGACCCAAATTCAGTTCTGGGCTCCTGGTTTCAGCCTGGCCAGCCCTGCCCGTTGCAGATAATTTGAGGAGTAAACCATCAGAAGATTTCTGTCTGTGTCTCTTTCTGCCTTTCAAATAAATCAAAATATCTAAAAATTAAAAAAGGGGCCGGCGCTGTGGAGTAGCAGGTAAAGCTGCCGCCTGCAGTGCAGGCATCCCATATGGGTGCCGATTCGAGTCCCGGCTATCTACTTCTAATCTAGCTCTTTGCTTTGGCCTGGGAAAGCAGTGGAAGGTGGCCTAAGAGCTTGCACCCCTGAACCCACATGGGAGACCTGGAAGAAGCTCCTGGCTCCTGACTTCAGATCAGCACAGCTATACCCCTTGCGGCCAATTGGGGAGTGAACCAGCGGATGGAAGACCTCTCTCTCTCTCTCTCTTTGCCTCTACTTCTCTGTAACTCTTTCAAATAAATAAATAATTAAAAAAAAAAAGTCTCAGGGAAAACTCAAGTAGTAGCTTTTCCAAGTGTTCTCCAGAAAAGCCACAGCCACAATTCACCCAGGGCGTCTGCGCCACCCAGCAGCTTTCTGATGAACGTGTGGATTTCCCATGTGGTTCCTGTGTAGTGGGGAGGGGACTGGTTCTCAACTTAAGAGGACAGAGACGCCTAATGGGTGCATAGGTGGTCTGCAGAGACCCCACAAACCAGAATGTACATCAAACCTATGTGTGTGCACTGCGGCAGGGGTGGGAAGCATCCTGGCAACAAGCAGGTTCTCAAATGAGTTCCCGGCCAAAGGAGGCAGAACCGATCAGTGGTCCTACAGGGCTGAGATCAGTCACTGACCACGCCACCGTGCCGAGCCCTTGCTACCTCGGTTACTGCTTTCACTGCCAATTACCAGCGTGACTCGGATTTACACCTCTCCCCAGCCTGGCCTGTGACACTGTCTGCTGAGAAACGGGTCATCTCTCAATGTACATTTATCTATATTTTTTTTTATTTTTTATTTTTGACAGGCAGAGTGGACAGTGAGAGAGAGAGACAGAGAGAAAGGTCTTCCTTTGCCGTTGGTTCACCCTCCAATGGCCGCCGCGGCTGGCCTAGTGAGCCGCGGTGCCGGCCCTATCTATTATTTTTTTAAGATTTTTTTTTTTTAATTTTTTTTCCCCAGAACCCCTGTCTGCAGCCAAACTTATCCCTAGGCCCCAGAGTGGGGGATCTGGGGCCCACAAACTTCAGAGCTCGCTGTGGCAGCCACCTGGCCAGCCCACACCACCACAGGCCAGAGCTGAATTTGACTTGACTGCAGTGATTTATTTATTTGAAAGTCAGAGTTAGGGAGGGAGAGAGAGAGAGGCTTTCCATCCACTGGTTCACTCCCCAGTTGGCTGCAATGGCCGGAGCTGTGCCGATTCAAAGCCAGGAGCCAGGAGCTTCCTCCAGGTCTCCCATGCGAGTGCAGGGGCCCAAGAACTTGGGTCATTTTGTACTGCTTTCCCAGGCCATAGAAGAGAGCCGGATTGAAAGTGGAGGAACCAGGACTCAAATCAGCGCCCAAATGGGATGCCAGCACCACAGGCGGCAGCTTTACCTGCTATGCCACAGCACCGGCCCCTCAATGTGCCTTTAAAAAACAGCCTTCTGGTGCCACAAACCTCCCCACTGCCCTCTGAGGCCTCCTGGGAAGTCGGCCGCCCCTAGGACTATCCCAATATCCTTAGACAGTTACTGGCGTTTTCTTCTCCCCCAAGTCCAGCTTTATTAAGGCGTAACCGATGACGAACAACTGCATACATCCAGGAGGTTCGATGTGATGTTTGCACACACACATTATGAATATCTTGGATCAAGCCGTTCATATCCATCACCTCACATATTTAGTACTTTTGTGGTAAGGACATTTAAGATCTGCTCTGTTTACAAATGTACAAGACATTAGTATTAATTATAGCCACCACGCTATACACCAGACCACAGAAACTAGTTCCTCTAAGAGTGTGTCTTGTAATTTAATAGATACAGACAGAGGCAGAGAGAGAGAGATAGGCAGAGAGATCTTCCATCTGCCAGTTCAGTCTTCAAATGCCTACAACAGCTGAGGCTGAGTCAGGCCAAAGCCAGGAACTTCATTCGGTTTCCCACATAGGTGTTAAGGACATGGCTACTTGAGCCATCACTTGCTACCTCCCTAGGGTGCACATTAGCGGGAAGTTGGAACTGGAAGTGGAGCCAGGACATGAACCCAGATCCTCCGGGCATCCCAACAGAGTCTTAACAACTATGCCAAATGCCTGCCCTCCTCTGTCTTCTACTAACTTAGAAGCATGCCAGAACAAACTAGCAAAGATAAAAACAGGTTTGTAGATACAATCAACACTGTACCTGCCCAAGTTAAATATCATAAGATAATACGTGGCAATGTTTTCCATCAAGAAATAGATGAACTGTTTACAACAGCCCTGTAATTAGGGGCAGGGTTTTCCTGCTAACCCTGGGGGGCAGCAGGTCATGGGTCCAGTCCTTGGGTCCCTGCCACCCACCTGGGAGACTCAGATGGTGGTCCTGGCTCTGGGCTTCAGCCTGACCCAGCCTCTGCTGTTTCAGGCATTTGGGGAATGAAACAGCAAATGGAAGAGCTCTCCCCTAACCCCCCATCCCCATCTCTCACTCTGTGTGTGCATGTGTCTCCCTCCCTCTGCCTTTCAAATAAATAAACAATAGTATGTTTTCTTTTCTTTCTCTCTCTCTCTCTCTCTCTCTCTCTCTCTCTCTCTTTTGACAAGCAGAGTAGACAGTGTGAGAGAGAAACAGAGAGAAAGGTCTTCCTTTGCCGTTGGTTCAGCCTCCAATGGCTGCTGCGGCTGGCACGCTGCTGCCGGTGCACCGCACTGATCCAATGGCAGGAGCCAGGTACTTATCCTGGTCTCCCATGGGGTGCAGGGCCCAAGGACTTGGGCCATCCTCCACTGCACTCCCTGGCCACGGCAGAGAGCTGGCCTGGAAGAGGGGCAACCGGGACAGAATCTGGCGCCCCGACCGGGACTAGAACCCGGTGTGCCGGCGCCGCAAGGCAGAGGATTAGCACAATAGTATGTTTTCAACACCTCCCTAGTTTAATTCATCTCTCCCAACCCAGCTGTAGACCAACAGTTTTGAAGACTCACAGCCTTGCATGGAAGCACATAAAACAGTGACCACATATATGAATGGATCTAGGAGGTACATTAGAGTTATTATTTTAATAGATATTTGTTAGGCATTTGCTGTCGCCCAGCCTCCTGGGCACGTCATTGAGAATAATGTGTTAAAAAGCAAGACTCTGGTTTCAAGGAATTCCTCATTCACTGTGCAAAAACAGAGTGAACCAATAAGGACTATGAGATAGCATCACAAAGTGGACAGGAAAAACCTAACTGAGTGGCACAGCTTACCGAAGTGACTGCCTTCACTTGTCCAGTAGTAACAGGAGTTGGCACACTGGTGTCTGCAATCACAAACTGACCAGCGGGAAGTGTCATCATTTGAATCTCGGACGCTGAAAAAGAAGAAATAGCCACAGTTCAGTGGTCTCGTTTCAATCCAAGTTCTGGAGACAGGGCTGCAACCTGATAGTCCCATTGTGAACTGAAAATATCCTAATGCATTTGCTACACTTAACCTACTGAGCATCACAGCTTAGCCAAGCCTGCCTTCAACATGCTCTGAACACCGACACCAACCTACAGCTGGGCAAAATCATCTCACACAAAGTGAAGTGCTGAATATCTCATGTAGCTTATTGAACGTGGTACTGAAAGTGAAAAACAGAATGGTTACATGGGGGAGGGTGTTTGGTGCCGTGGTTAAGATGCTGCTTGGGAGGCCTGCATCCTATATCAAGGTCTGGGTTCAAGTCCCAGCTCTGCTTCTGATGCCAGTTTCCTGCTCTGTGCACACTGGGAGGCAGCAGAAGTCAGCTCAAGGATTTGGGGTTCTGCCACCCACAAAGGAAACCTGCATGAATTCTGGGACCCCTAGCTTCAGCCTAGCCCAGCCTCACTGTTGTGGCTATTCATGGAGTGGACAAGCAGGTAGATCTCTCTGTCTGTCTCTGTCTCTCTGCCTATCAAACAAATGAAAAGAAATAAATAATAAACAGTTACATGGGTACATTTTCACATCACCTTAAAGTTGAAAGATTGTAAGTTGAACCATTAAAAGTCAGAGACTATCTGTTGTACTTAACCAGTGGTTATATTCCCCACTAAGACATTTTTCCATGGATTTGCTTGCTGCAAATCTTACGATGTGATTTCTTCACATAGCAAAAGCCATCTCTGATAAGAACCGACCAGACGAGAAGAGGCCACAGGGCTACTGAGCATCAGAGACAGTCAATGTATCCCCCTCAAAGGTGATTCTTGAATCTTCATAAAGAAAAATATTCAACATTTTGTTGAAACCCTGAAATAAATTGCAAATATTTATCTTTTAGCCTAATATTTTTATCTTTTATATTCAGACGTGAATTACTTGCACAAACATGTCCACAGTTGCCGAGCAATCACAATATAATCCAAATACAATTTTATTTCACCACCAGTGTCATTAAAGTAAATTGAAACCAAAGTTTATCCTAGCACTCTGCTGATAATCTCTCTCTCTCTTTTTGTTAAAAAGATTTATTTAGCCACAATGGCTAAAACTGGGCCGATTCAAAGCCAGGAGCCAGAAGTTTCTTCCGGGTCTCCCATACAGGTGCAGGGGCCCAAGTACTTGAGACATCTTCTACTGCTTTCTCAGGCCATAGCAGAGAGCTGGATTGGAAGTGGAGCAGCCAAGACTTGAACCAGCGCTCATATGAGATGCTGGCACCGTAGGCAGATGCTTAACCTACCACACCAGCCTATCAGTGCAGGCCCTCTGCTGATAATCTGTAAATAATATTGTGACTAGAAGGAGCAAGAGCTTCTTGGGAAAATGGTTGATTTGCAGACCTGGACAGAAAATGTAATAGATGGGGCTGGCACTGTAGCACAGCAGGTTAAACCACTGTCTGCAGTGCCAACATCCCATACGGGCATGGCTCCAAGTCCTGGCTACTCCACTTCTGATCCAGCACCCTGCTAATGTGCCTGGGAAAGCAGCAGAAGATGGATCAAGTGTTGGGGCCTCTGCCACCCACAGGGGAGTCTTGGCTGAAGCTCCTGATTCCTGGCTTCAGCCTGGCCCAGCCCCAGCTGTTGCAGCCATTTGGGGAATGAACCAACAGGTGGAAATCTCTCTCTCTCTCTCTCTCTCTCCTGCCTATAACTCTGCCTTTCAAATAAGCACATCAAGAGAGAGAGAATGATGTAACAGACAAGCCAGGAACATCACATCTCACCACACACAAGATATTATGGCTATGATGTTGTGAGGGAAAGACAGACATAGGAGCCAGTTTGAAGGGACGTCTACCAGGTAAAAAGAGGAGCACGAGCATGAACAAGAGCAACTGTACTAGGCTGAAAAATATCATGTGTTGAAGTCCATGAGTACAAAATGACACTAAGCACACACACACACACCACACACATGCTTGCCTCTCACAGTCACCTTGGACAACACTAAGAAACCAACTCAGTATTTCAAAAACTGCTAAGTAAGGAGAGGGGGTGGGTATTTGAGTCAAATACTTAAAGCACTTCTGTCTTGCTCATCTAAACTGTACCTCATAGTAACATGGTACTTAAGATAAAATTTTCTCCCTCATGCAATTTTTCTAGCTAGCTAACTAATTGGTCGTGAACTAGCTAGACACCACAGCTTTGCAAACCCCAATGAAATTACAGAGCTAAGGAATGAACACTGTTGTCTCTTTTTTAAGATTTATTTATTTATTTGAAAGGCAGAGTTACAGAAAGAGAGAGAGAGAAGGAGAGAGAGGTCTTCCATCTGCTAGTTCACTCCCCAGATGGCCCCAACGGCCAGAGCTGAGCTGATCTGAAGCCAAGAGCCAGGAGCTTCTTCTGGGTCTCCCCCGTGGGTACAGGTGCCCAAGGATTTGGGCCATCTTCCACTGCCTTCTCTGCCATAGCAGAGAGCAGGATCGGAAGAGAAGCAGCCAGGACTCAAACCAGTGCCCGGATGGAATGCCAGCACTACAGGTAGCAGCTTCAACCCACTGCGCCACAGCGCTGGCCGCATATTGCCGGTTCTTAACAAAAAGAGAGGCAACCTCACATTATGTGCTTCCTGATGGAAGTACCCAGTTACTAAGTATCTTGGGTGGAAAATACTGAATCTGAACCTGATCAAACCTCAGTTTCTAATTGCCAGAGTGTAGGATATAAGAGGGACAGAGGAAAGCTTATTAAATGATAGCCCTAGAAAAAAAATCTAGAAGTGGGAAAACTATAGGACAAACGACCCAATTTCTTTAACACAGAAATTACATACAAGAGACAGTGAATGCATATTTTATTTATTTTTTATTTATTTATTTTTTTGACAGGCAGAGTGGACAGTGAGAGAGAGAGACAGAGAGAAAGGTCTTCCTTTGCCGTTGGTTCACTCTCCAATGGCTGCCGCAGCCAGCGCGCTGCAGCCGGCGCACCGCGCTGATCTGATGGCAGGAGCCAGGTACCTCTCCTGGTCTCCCATGGGGTGCAGGGCCCAAGTACCTGGGCCATCCTCCACTGCCTTCCCGGGCCACAGCAGAGAGCTGGCCTGGAAGAGGGGCAACCGGGACAGAATCCGGCGCCCCGACTGGGACTAGAACCTGGTGTGCCGGCGCCGCAAGGTGAAGGATTAGCCTAGTGAGCCGCGGCGCCGGCTGAATGCATATTTTAAAACAGCCTCAAAGAAATTATCAATGCCAATGGATAGACCTTATTTGGAGCCCAATTTGAACAAACAATTAAAAAATAATTTCTGAGACAATCATGGAAATCTGAACACTGGGTACTGGAAGCATATTTCTATGCATTAAAGAACTGCTGTCGTTTCTTCTTGGGTTTGGGAATGCTGTGTTGTATAGAGCCATGTTTTTAAAAAGAAGTCCTTCAGGGGCCAGCGCTGTGGCACAATGGGTTAAAGCCCTGGCCTGAAGCGCCGGCATCTCATATGGGCACCAGTTCTAGTCCCGGCTGCTCCTCTTCCGATCCAGCTCTCTGCTGTGGCCTGGGATAGCAGTGGAAAATGGTCTAAGTGCTTGGGCCCCTGCATCCATGTGAGAGACCCAGATGGAGTCCCTGGGTCCTGGCTTCAGCTTGGCTTAAATCTAGCTGTTGTATACATCTGGGAAGTGAACGAGCAGACAGAAGACCTTTCTCTCTCTCTCTCGGTCAATCTGCTTTTTAAACAAACAAACCTTCAAAAAATAATAAATAAACAAAAATCAGTCTTTTTGTTCTAGAGCTACCCACTAAAATACTTAAGGATGAGATGATGTGATGTGTGCCCATCCAACTGGAAGACGGAAGAGAATGTGGGAGTAAAGATGAGACAAGGCTCAGGGCTGAAACCGTGGCTATGGGTACAGCAGGATTCATTATACTGTTCCCTTTACTTTTGAACATTCTGACATTTTTTCCTAATAAAAAACTTCAGTTCCAGAATCTTTTCTCCAGGTTAGAATGCTAACTCAGACTACTGTTACCGAGGATATCTTTATCACTCCACTTTTATCACAGGCATTAAACTGAGTGTGAATGTCAATGTCCTGTATTCTACTGGTATTTACTGCAAGCAAGAGAGCGTTTCCTGACTGAGAACCAGACTGGGCCCTCGTCATGATCACCGATAGTTAAAGGAACAGGTTACAAAAATGACTCAATGGTGTGAGCCTGACTCCACAGCAAATCCACCTAACACAGCCAAGTATAAATCAAAACAGAGACAGACCCCGAAAAACCAACAGTAGGAGGAAGGTCAATGCCGCCCTGCTCTCTTCCCCTTTTCCTCCTAGTGAGGCCTAACTGTTAACCTCTACTTCCATTCCTTCCACACCTTCTATGGTAAAAGCCTTATCTTTCCCAGCCCGTGCCCAAAGCTATGGCTGCCACCAAGATTTCTGCCTAGTCTCAACTCCCGCAGCCCGCCTATTCCCACTTGCCCAGCACCCATCTCAGGGCTTGGGAACAACCCGCACATCTATGCCCTGTACCAGGTGATGGTCTCTTTGAGCCCAGAGGAGCTCATTAGGAGAAGCAGCCCAGAGGAGCAATTTCAAGGATGAACACTGGAGTCAGAGTCCATTTACAACTCATTATGTCTGAGTTGTCTTATCCGTAAAATGCAAATGGCAACTGTATTTACCTCCCAGGTTTTAGTGAATACCGAATGTGACATATACGGCTCAGAATCATTCCTGGCATATGATGAGAGCTTGCTGGAAGCTGGCTAACAGTTAGTGTCAACAGGAATCTTTGCAAACCCAGGGTCCAGTGACTGGCACAGGCATTCAATAAACATTGGTGGAAGGGACGAATCTCTGCCACCAACATACCCTCCATGCATCCATCCTATGTAAGTTCCCTACCTGCACTTTCTCCAGCATTAACGTCTGAAGACGCCATACCAAGGTGGCTCTCTGAGATCAACATGGTGCCTTGAAGTTTGTCACAAAACCTTGACATACATGCATTATAGAGTGTGGAAAATGACCACTTGATATTTTCATCCTGAGTGCTACTATAAAGTGGATGGCACTATGCTCCAGGACAAGACATCCCCACCCACGGCCTATATATACAGCACCGTCCCTGTCGTTTTCACTCACGATAGCCACGGAAGGAGTTCCAAGCGTTGGGCAGGTACGTGTGCTGGACAGAGGAGTTCTGCTGCTGCTGCAGGGCCTGCCCTTGGGTGGAAGAACCGCCTGGTATGTGGGAGGGACTGAGCCCCTGCTGAGACTGCTGGGGAGAGGGGCTCAAAGGCTGCCCAGCTACCTGGGGAGAAAGAGAAGGAAGAGTAGGGAATGATGAATTTACAGTGCAGCTAAGACTCACAAGTCAGCCAAGGAAGTAAATCAGACTACCATGAATTCGAATACCGGAGTCATCACAGCTAAAGCAATAATATTTTAAGTAACAGCGGAATTTATGAAACGCAACTGTAACTCCAAAATTCTAATCTGTCTTCAAAGGAGTCTGCAGAAACCTAATTTCGATAAAATTAGAAAGGCAAACTATGGGGCCAGAGCTGTGGTGCAGCAGGTTAACGCCCTGGCCTGAAGCGCCGGCATCCCATTTGGGTGCTGGTTCTAGGCCCAGCTGCTCCTCTTCCGATCCAGCTCTCTGCTATAGCTTGGGAAAGCAGTGGAGGATGGCCCAAGTCCTTGGGCTCCTGCACCCGCATGGGAGACCCAGAAGAAGCTCTTGGCTCCTGGCTTCGGATCGGTGCAGCTCTGGCCGTTGCGGTCATCTGGGGAGTGAACCAGCGGATGGAAGACCTCTCTCTCTGTCTCTACCTCTCTCTGTGACTCTGTCTTTTAAATAAATAAAATAAATGTTAAAAAAAGAAAAAAGAAAGGCAAACTAATGAAAGCAAAACTATAACATGAGGTTAAAAAAAAAAAAAAAAAAAACCTTGGAACTGGAATAACTAAGTAACTTGGATAAAGCAATTTTGGAACACAAACAGAAACCACAAGTCACAATCTCCACTAATCTGCTTGGAAGGGCCTACTGCTGACTGTAAGCTGAAGCCCGCATTCCACAGCCTGCCACTCCAGGTCCTCCACAAACCAGCCCCAAACTAGCTTCCCAACTTTCTTCCCAAACATCACTTCCTGTTATGAACCTGAATGGAATGTACCACAATTTCCCATGACTGTCTTCACTAACCGTGTGAGCTTATTCAGACTGTAATACTTTCCTCTATACCGTATGGAAATTGGACTTTTCCTTCAAGACTAAGACCACTTCTTCTACTAAAAGGTCCTTGGTTCCCTGATAAACAATCATTCCTCCACAAAACCCCCAGAACTTAAGTATACATCTTACAAAATGACTCAATCACACAAACACAGTAAGACTCCACCAAGTCAGCACACCAAATTACAGAGGCAATTTAGCAATTGCATTTACAGTGAGAAGCAAAGGCCAGTGTCATTTCTAGGATTTCATATCACAGGGCTCCAAGTGGGAAGGAGCGCTCATCACTTGATATATGTGTGTCTTTACCAATATAAAAACTGGAGGCAAAGATAAGACTCTTTAATTAAGGTTCAAAAATAAAGATACAGTCTCAAAAGTTGAGGCTGGGTCTAAAAATGTCTTCACCATTATTAACTCATATGGTCCCTGAGACCATGTTAAATTGTCAGAACATTTCACACAGAAGTGTACCTGGGGGGATCAAAATTGTGGCTCAGCAGGTTAAGCCGTCACCTGCAACACCAGCATCCCATATGAGTGCTGGTAGTTCGAGTCCCAGCTGCTCCACTTACAAACTAGCTCCCTGCTAACGCGCCTGGGAAGGCAGCAGAACACAGCCCAAGTCCCAGGGCTCCTGCACTCACATGGGAGACCCAGAAGAATCTCCTGGCTCCTGGCTTCAGCCAGTCCCAACCCTGGACACTGTAGCCATTTGGGGAGTGAACCAACAGATGGAAAATCTCTCTCTCCTAATTCTGCCTTTCAAATACATAAATAAATCTCTCTTTTTAAAAAAGATTTATTTATGCATTTGAAAGAGTTACACAGAGAGAGGAGGAGAGGTAGAGAGAAGAGAGAGAAAGAGAGGTTCACTCCCCAATTGGCCACAATGGGCAGAGCTGTGCTGATCCAAAGCCAGGAGCCAAGAGCTTCTTCCAGGTCTCCCATACTGGTGCAGGGGCCCAAGGACTTGGGCCATCCTCCACTGCTTTCCCAGGCCATAGCAGAGAGCTGGATCGGAAGAGGAGCAGCTGGGCCTAGAACTGGTGCCCATATAGGATGCCGGCACTGCAGGTGACAGCTTTACCTACTATGCCACAGCATCGGTCCCCATGAATAAGTCTTTAAACAAATTTTTTTAAAAAAGTGTACCTGGGAGGGCGAGGGAGTTGAGGTGGTGGGCTCTGTCACCTGGATGTGCTGCACCTGGATGGCATGCGGGGTGTAGGTCTGGGGGTCATGCAGCTGGCCGACATCCACAGTGGGCTGCTGAGACTGGTGGGGGGAGGTGGCCTGGCGGGAGAGAAAAACGGGCCCAGAAACCAGACACGTGTGAGTACTGACTGAGGTTAAGGGCAGTTCCTTCCAGACCCCGACAGAAACAGAACGGCTGGAACATCAGATCCAAGGAGGCCTTCCCACAGGTCCCATCCCTAAGCCAGGGCAGACCGGAGCACAGAAAAAAATGGTTTCAAATATTATGCTTCTGAAACATAAGCCACTAACCATTAAATTCTGGAAGAGGGCAGGGATATGCTCAGAGTTCCTAATAATAAGCTGAATGAGAAGCTCTTAGAGCAAACAATCTTCCGTCCTCAAATTTCAATTAAATGTAACGGTCAACCTTTTACAGTTAAAAGAGATCAAAGGAGAGAATTTTCTTTTAGTTTGTCATTGTGGTTCCTAATCTTTTACATTTCACTGACATTTTTCAAAATCTGCCTAAAGTACACCCCCACCCCCAAATCCCCAAGTAATAGGCATCTGGATCATGTTTGTTTGTTTGTTTTACAGGCAGAGTGGACAGTGAGAGAGAGAGACACAGAGAAAGGTCTTCCTTTGCCGTTGGTTCACCCTCCAATGGCCGCCGCGGCCGGCGCACTGCGGCCGGCGCACCACGCTGATCCGAAGCCAGGAGCCAGGTGCTTCTCCTGGTCTCCCATGGGGTGCAGGGCCCAAGCACTTGGGCCATCCTCCACTGCACTCCCGGGCCACAGCAGAGAGCTGGCCTGGAAGAGGGGCAACCGGGACAGAATCCGGCGCCCCAACCAGGACTAGAACCCGGTGTGCTGGCGCCGCAAGGCGGAGGATTAGCCTAGTGAGCTGCGGCGCCGGCCTGGATGATGTTTTATAGACAACTTCAAGACTCATAGATTCCTCCACAGCCTAAAGCCAAGAAAGCCCCCCCCAAGAAAAACAAGAGTCAAGCCAAGTCAATGACTGTGATAACTTGTCATTTTCTGGGGCCAGCACTATGGCACAGTGGTTGAGCCGGCTGCTGCCTGCGAGACAGGCTTCCCGTATGAGTGCTGGTTTGAGTCCCGGCTGCTCCACTGCTGATCCAGCTCCCTGCTAATGGCAGGGAAAAGCAGTGGAAGATGGCCTAAATGTCAGGCCCTCTGCCATCCACGTGAAAGACCCAGATGAAGCTCCCAGCTCCTGCCTTCAGCCTGGCCCAGCTCTGGCCATTGTGGCCATTTGGGGAGTAAACCAGCCAATGAAAGATCTCTCTTTCTGTCTCTCCCTTTCCATGTAATAAATAATAATAATAATAAAAACTTCTCATTTTCTATATCCACATTGGTTTTAAATTTTCCGAATCCAGATGATTTCAAAGCAACAAGATTGTCCTCTGGTGCCTAGAGTACACTTCCTTGGCAAAATTAAACAATGCAATAGTTCTGGGAGAACTGTGGCTTTTAGCTCCTGATCAGTAAGACTTACATGGTAGAAGAAATACCATTGTACCTCTTTACTAAAAAATGTCCTGACTGATATCCAGAGAGTGAATCAAACATTTTCCTTCCAACCTCCCAGGAATACACATCACTCGATATCCAGGTAGGGCTTTAGCAAACGGGCTCATTCCCAGGGACTCAGCCCAGATGCTAGAAGATGAAGCATTGGGAAGAGGCCCAGACTGACTGTCCTGCAATAGCACTGCCCTGCAGTAGCACAAGGTACTAAATATGCCAGACTGAGAATCCCCAACTCCCTAAGACAGCCATCTCTCACAACGCTGAGTCCAGGGCTCTCACCAGCCCGGGGAGGCCAGAGGTGGGCGTTTCACAAGTGCTTGGGTCTCAGGATGCACGTGCAAGGGTACGTCATGCAGAGCCGGCTGCTCTTCTGAGAACTGACCCCAGCTCCCGGCCTGGCTGATGGCACCGTGGTGTTCCCAGAGCTGAAGAGCAAGGAAGGTGATACGTACCGGGGCTACCTGCACCACTTGAAGCTGTATGTGTTGAGGCTGCTGCAGACCAGAGGCAGACTGAGACACAGGGATATACTGAATCCTCTGGTAATCCCCCTGGGGCGTTCGGTAGTCTGTTGTTAGGGTCTGGGACAGCTCTGTCATTGCCTGGGTGAGCAGGTCTGTTGTCTACAAAAAAAGCACACCGCACATTCACTGGTGACATGACGGTCTGCAGCTATTCCAGTGCTCTTCAATCCTACCAGACTTTAGTGTGTCTCTCACTGATGGGTCACAGAGCTACAAATTATCCCTGAACCCAGGAGAAATACTCTGAGCTTGAGAGGATGCTGGGAGATTATCTCAATATCTACACCAGCAGCTACCGCTACGCGCGTCTGCCTGTCTGCGTGTGACCCAGCGGCACTGCTCTTGAGGACCCGACAATGCTGCAGGCCCTGAGCTGCACTGAAATTCCAGGTTCCCCTGGCACGGAGTTCTGGAAGGCATCCGCCAGGACCCAGTCCTAATCGTAATGCCTTTTGCAGGAAGCTGAACAATAACTGGCCACAGGTGCAGCCCCCTGACTCACAAGATGGACGTGGCTTTGGCGTTCTGAAGACACCAGGGTGCTGCGGGAGAGGAGCCCCTCCTCCTCGCCACGGACTTACCACCACAGTCTCTCCAGTGGCACTATCTGTCGTCAACACAGCTGGGGCAGTGCTGATCACGGCCGTCGTCAAGGGTGTGTGGATGGTGTTGGGGAGCTGGGCGTACTCTGGATGCTTCTTTCGAATGTGTTGGACCATCTTGGTCTGAAAAAGTAAGGCAAAAAACCAAGAGTAGTTACTGAAATTAGTCACTTTCGGTCTTATATGCAAACCTTCCAAAGGTGCCTAAGGTCTTTTCTCTTGATCCTTAAGGAGAAAGAAAAATTCAGAGGCGGCATTTCGCCAAGCAGCTAAAATGTACACATCCCACAGCAGAGTATCTGCGTTTGATTCCTGGCTCCAGCTTCTTGCTAATGGAGACCCTGGGAGGCATTGATGATGGAGACCTGGACTGAGTTCCCAGCTCCTGGCTTCAGCCCCATTCCAGCCATGCCCATTGCGGACATCTGGGGGGTGAACCAGCAGATGGCAGCTCACTCTGTATCTCCCCCTGTCTCTCTATCTCTCTCTCACTCGCTCTGTTGGCCTTTCAAAAAAAAAATTTGAGCAACATTGACTCTATGCCTATACTTACTAAAATGGCACACTATGAAAGATTAAAAAAAAAAAAAAGGCAAGGGGCAGAAAAGAAGTAAAAATCCACAGGATCATCTTCCACCAGGCAAGAGCTGGGCACCTCACAGCATCCCCCAGCCACGCTACTGTGGGCAGTAAATCCCCCAGCAAAAACGGCCCCCTTTCCAGGGACCACTGCCTAAGTTCCTCTGCTGTGCCCCCAACAGCAGGAACTCATAAACTATGAGCATGGAACCCTCACAGAGGGAGCCCTGTGCAGGCTGAGGGAAACCGACGAGGGTCAGGCATCCCCGGCTCCGGGGGAAATGCCACAGTACTGTCTTCCCATCCTTTGCTGTGGCCCCTGTTTATAGGGACTACGGGAACAACTCTTTTAGTCCCTTATCCAGTCCAAAGGAGCTACTTGGCCATCTCGCTGAGAAGTCATCTCCTCCTAAGAGATGCCTCGGGTAGTGCTTGTGGCTTCGGGGGAGTCGTACCTTGCTGCTGTACTGCTTGGAGCAGTGAGGGCAGCAGACGGGAGGCGTGGCGATGGTGCCCGTCAGCTGGGTGTGGGTGCTCAGCATGGGGTCGGGCTCTCCGGGGCCAGCAGGACGAAGTTTCCTTATGCTTGGCGGGAGCTCAGCTCCTGGGTGATTCTTCAGAATGTGGGCTTTCCGCTTACTCGCACTTTTATAAACCTGCAAATTCAAATGCGCTGCCATGAGAGCAGTGTACAGTTCTGCTTTCTTGCTCAAGGCAAACCATCTAGCAATCCCACAAGGAGGAAATAAGGGAAAGGATTCATGTAGATGAAAATGAAACGTATTCTCTAATGAAAGGTAATAAGGATATACCATAAATTAGGATAAGAACATAATACAGATATGCTAGGCATCTTCCTTGAGTTTATAAATCTAAGACTGCAACTATAACAACACCCATTACCCTAAAGTTTAAAAGGTGAATATACAGGCACTGGCGCTGTAGCGTGGTGGGTCAAGCTGCCACCTGTGACACCAGCATCCCACATGGGTACTGGTTCGTGCCCTAGCTGTTCCACTTCTGATCCAACTCCCTGCTAGTGGCCTGGGAAGAGCAGCAGAGTAGCCCAAGTATTTGGGCCCCTGCTACCCTATGGGAGACCCTGGTGAAGCTCCTGGCTCCTGGCTTTGGCCTGGCCCAGCTCAGGCTATTATAGCCATCTGGGGAGTGAACCAGCAATGGAAGATCTCTGTTTCTCTGTCTCTCCCCCTCTGTGACTCTGATTTTCAAATAAATAAATAAATCTAATAAAATAAATTAAAAGGTAGATGTACAGACAAAGAAAACTGATTTGAAAGCGGCCTAAGATGCACATAGCTGACTACTGGGAGCCAAGGAATCTGCCAAAGGAATTAACCTCTAGTGGAGGAATCTATGTTTAAAAAATGTTTCTTGGGGCTGGTGTTGTGGCGCAGCAGGTTAAAACCACAGCCTACAGTTCCAGCATCCCACTTGGGCGCCAGTTCAAGTCCTGGTTGCTCCATTTCCAATCCAGCTCCTTGTTAATGTACCTGGGAAAGCAGTGGAGGATGTCCCAAGACCTTGGGCCCCTGTACTCTCATGGGAGACCCAGAAGAAGCTCCTGGCTTCAGGCTGCAACCTGGCCCAGCCCCAGTCATTGCAGCCATTTGGGGAGGGAAACAGTGGATGGAACACCTCTCTCTCTCTCTCTCTCTCTCTCTCTCTTTCTCTAACTCTGCCTTTCAAATATATAAATAAATCTTTAAAAACACGTTTCTTATTTTTAAGCTAACAAAACTTCACTATGTAAGGAAATGATAAGATTATTTTACAATGAAACAACTAACAAATATTTTCTTTTGTCTTTTTTTGCAACTGCACACAAATAGAGAATTGGAGCAGTACCAGTGCAGAATTCTATCTCAACACTTTTTCATGTCCCACTCAATCTTCTAGGAATCCAAAAGCTATCAATATTTTAAAAGTAAGATGATAAACACTCTCATTTTAGATCTTAGGGGTTTAAAATGAATTCCCATACCAGGCTCTTGGTAATAGGTCTCTCCTTTTGTAACAAGAACCACAAAGAGTAGGTACAATAAGAAAAACAAAGCCAACTAAATTCTTAAGGAGAAAAATTGGCTTAAAATGAGGCTGTATCTGTAGCCCTTTTTATCTGAATGGAGAACTACTGAGACAGGGAACCATCTGCTAAGAACACCTGCAAGATCCTAGAACATATTTAGACATGCAGATAACGGGCTCCCTACAGGGCGCCCACAGGGGTGTATCAGAACAGAATTCTCCCTTTACCTTGTCACAGTACTGACAAAAGTAGTCACGGTTGGGTTTGATGATGGGGAGAGTTAGCTCTGGCACCTCTTCGATCTTCATGTCTGGGTGTCTCTTTGATAAGTGATTTACCTAAAGTGGGGGAAAAATGGTCAAAAGAGAAAAAAAAAAGAGACCCCTCTGTTAACAGAAGCTAACCAAATGCCTCTGACGACGAGTGCTGGCAGCTGCAGTTCTCTGAAGCCAGGGGCCCCCAAACAGTAAGATTAGTGGCTAACATCAGCATCACCAGAGCCATCCAACCCCAGCACACTAACAGGCACAGCTAAGAGCAGTTCCCAGCAATTCAGCAAACAACCGGGTGTGAGCTGGGTGGTGTGGATGTCATCGATGGGCTTCGGCTACAACACCTACAAACCGCGCCGGCATGAACGACTTGGGTGAATTCTCTCGAGGCAGCGCCGTCTTGTATCTTTCGTGCCCTAGCTTTACTGAGAACACTGAGATAGGAACTATGGCTCGGAATTTAAACATGGTGCCACGGCCTTCCAGGTCCCAGCAGAATGCTCACAACTTTGACAGGGGCAAAACGCATTGTGAGCAGTGGACTGGCCAGCTGGGCCGCCATGCCCTGCGGTGACAGACGGTCTCCTTCCACTACTATTTGAAACCTACAACACAGGTGCACTGACGGGGCATGGTCAAGGAGAAGGCAAAGATGCCCCCACTAGAAAGTCTACTCTAGGGATCACAGAAGAGGAGAGGAAAGAAAATGGAATAAGAGTAAAAGAAAAAAAAAAAAAAAAAAGACTGGGGGCTGGTGCTGTGGTGCAGCGGGTTAACACCCTGGCCTGGCCTGAAGCACCAGCATCCCGTAAGGGCGCTGGTTTGAGACCCAGCTGCTCCACTTCCACTCCAGCTCTCTGCTGTGGCCTGGGAAAGCAGTAGAAGGTAGCCTAGGTCCTTGGGCCCCTGCACCCACATGGGAGACCCAAAAGAAGCTCCTGGCTCCTGGCTTCAGATCAGTGCAGCTCCGGCCATTGAGGCCAATTGGGGAGTGAACCAGCAGATGGAAGACCTCTCTCTCTCTCTGCCTCTCCTCTCTCTGCATAACTTTGATTTTCATTTCAAATAAATCTTGATAGAAAAAAAAAAAACTGAAAGGATGAAGAAACACAAAAGCAGCCATGGAAAGCAGGAGAGAAGGAGGTCACTCGGACAGGGGCACAGGAGGGCGCGGAGACTGGAGCAGAGAGGGCTCCAGCTGGGGAAGTTGTGTGCCTGTTTCTCCCCCAGCCATGGACAGACAGAACCGCTCCAGGTGACAACGCAGGAGCCACGATCACCCCCCGGCAGCCCCCAGCCGCCTGGCACTGACCAGCATGCCTCGCCGCCGGAAGCCCATCATGCACAGCCGGCACTTGAACGTGAAGCTGTCGTAGTCCGTGGACGTGATGCGAGGCTTGAAGGTCTTGGAGCGGCTGATGCGGTCGGCTTTCTTGGCCTCCCTCTCTGGGTTGTGCATCCTCTGCATGTGTTCCCGCAGTTTGTCTTTTCGCTATTCGAAAGGAAGCGTTGGAAAGGGGGACAGGAGTGGGGTAGAAAACTTTCAGTTGAAGGAATAATGAGAAAAGCGTACAAATTTGCAGTCACCACAATCTCCTAGAGGCATCTAGGTTAGCTGGGGTGCTGGTGCACACCGGGACGGAGGTGGCCGGGAATGACTTTATTCCCTGGCAAGCCAGAAAACACCACTAAATGGGAAGGTACACCCTGATTTTTGAGGGGGAACACTGCATTATATAGAGGAGTTCATAGGGTACGTGCAGTAAGGACGGGCTTAAGAACTCTAAGACAAATTGAAAATGAGTGATGGGGGAGCTGGCACTGTGGTGTAGTAAGTAAAGCTGCCGCCAGCAGTGCCGGCATCCCGTGTGGACGCCGGCTCAAGTCCTGCTGCTCCACTTCCGATCTGGCTCTCTGCTGTGGCCTGGGAGAGCAGTGGAGGATGGCCCAAGTCCTTGGGCTCCTGCACCCACGTAGGAGACCCAGAGGAAGCTCCTGGCTCCTGGCTTCGGATCAGCATAGCTCCAGCTGCTGTGGCCATCTGGGGAGTGGATCAGCAGATGGAGGACCTCTCTCTCTCTGCCTCTCCTTCTCTTTCTGTGTAACTCGGACTTTCAAATAAACCAATGTTTAAAAAGATTTATTTTATTTATTTGAAAGGCAGAATTACAGAAAGAGAGAGAGAAAGAAAGAGAGATCTACCATTTGCTGGTTCATCCCCAAATGACCACAACAGCCAGTGTTGGGCCAGGACAAAGCCAGGAGCTTCTTCTGGGTCTCTCATGGGGGTGCAGGGGCCCAAGGACTTGGGCCACCTTCTGCTACCTTCCCAGGCACATTAGCAGGAAGCTGGATTGGAAGTGGAGCAGCCAGGACTCGAATCAGCACCCATATAGGGTGCCGGCACTGCAGGTGGCAGCTTTACCCACTACACCACAACATCGGCCCCAAGCAAGAATCTTTCACACAAGGACTTCGAGGTCCAGCTAAAAATGTAGACTGTCCGCTATGGATAGAGCGCAGGGCCTAGGACTCAGCTTCTGATTTATGAATCCAATGATTCATGCTGAATTTTTTGAGTCCATAAAGAAAAGATTAGGCCTAGCCCATCCAGAATAAAAAAAAAAAACAACCTCAAAAACATGCAAGCTCTCTGTCCAGGGAGGGCCTCCGGCTCTCTCTCTTGAACTGTTATTCATCTGGTGTAGATTTGAGCCTTTCTACAAGGCCAGTTCTTCCCTCTTTTCCCTCTTTTGGTATAGAGCCTTTTTTTTTTTTTTAACCACTTCATTTTTCAGTACAGTAATCCAACAAATATTCCTTGATGCCTACTAGCTAAGTGCCAAGTTCCAAAGGTAGGCTCCCTCCTACCTGCCTCTTTTGCAAACAACAGAGTTGAGACCCAACTGCTCCTTCCCCCTGGCTCCACCCCTTCTCATTCCTGGAAAGTCCAAAAGAGCCTGGCCAAAATTGCTTAGTCTAAGGTAAAGACTGGATTCAGAATATTGCCCTAAGAAAGATCATTTCTCAGGGCTGACACTGTGGCGTCAGCGGGTAAAGCCTCTGCCTGCAACGTGGGTAGGTTCACATCCTGGCTGCTCCAATTCTGATCCAGCTCCCTGCTAATGCACCTGGGAAAGCAGCAGAGGATGCCCCAAGTGCTTGGGCCCCTGCAACCCCGTGAGAGACCTGGAAGAAGCTCCTGGCTCCTAGCTTCATCCTGGCCCAGCCCTGTACATTGTGGGCATTTAGGAAGTGAACCAGTAGATGGAAGATTCCTCTCTCTCTCTCTCTCTGTAAACTCTGCCTTTCAAGTAAATTTTTAGACTTGGGTCCTAAGTACACAAATATTTCAGTATCTTAAAATAAATGAAAGCTGAAATACTCTGGTTCAAAGCATCCTGGATGGGGACTACTCAGCCTGCACTAACACATGCCAGGCCAACATGCAGTGAAGGGCATGTGTTTCTTGAATGCCCAACCTCCACAAGGCCTTTCCAACCTGCTATCTCCAAACCCAGATCCATTCTCTCCCCACCCTCCCCTCTGGCCTAAGTCCAGCTCCTTGTATCAGCTGTGTTCCCAAACATCCAGCTCCCAACCCATGGATCTCACCCCTCATCATCCCCCTTCATCCTTCCACACAGATGTGGGGTCCTGTTGGGCTTCCTCAAACATCTGTCTTGAATGTGGACCCTCTTCTCCAAGCCCACAGTCTCTGCCTGCAGTCAGCTCTAAGACCCCTGAAGCCCTCTTCACCATAAATCTAATTATTCAGCATCACGAGCTGGCTTAACCTATTTCTCAGGCTGCATCTCACCAGGGGCCTCTTACCAGGCCCTCCATCTCTCCACCTGTCACCATCTCCGGGCTGTGGCACTGCCTTAGTCACTGCTGCTCCCCCAATTCCTCATGCTCTCCCTTTGTCTACCCTTTAGTGAATTCAAAAGTGTCCCTTTCCCCTTACACACCCAAAACAGAGTCCATCACTCTCCTAGTACCTTATCCTTTGCTCTTTGGAACTACCAGGATTTTTTGAATGCATCTGTCTCATTTGCCCATGACACTGTGAGCTCCTTCAAGTCAGAAAGTCCTACTTCGCCTTTAGGTAAGCTGCCCTCATGAGATTTAACCATAGCAGGACAGGCACTTGCAATGCTTACATGCTTTGATGGGGTTTTCCAGCAAAAGGCCTTTGTAATTCAGGGCAGAATCACTTAAGCCAGGGACCCAAAAATGCCTCTTATGAAGCGAGGCAAAACGACGTGAGAGAGAGTACGAAAGTTTATTTCAAGCCAGGGATAGGAAGGAGAGCAAATCCAAGAGCCCAAGGAGAGCACATGCCACACATAAGTGGATGTAAGCAGAGCGTGGGCAAAGCAGCAGCACTAGGATCCAGGGAGGTGCCGGGAGCCTGATCCTGCAGGGTCTTCTAGGTCACAAGAACCTGGGAGCCTGTCTGTGGGAAGAGCTACTCGAGGGTTTTTCAGAAGGAACATGACATCAGATGTGTTCTCTAGAAAAATGACTCTGGGTACAGGCTGAGAGCTGCATTGACGGCATGCAGTGGTTATGTGCGGTGTCCACTTGGCTACGGGCACTACACTGAAATGCAATCCCCTCACAGTGTGGCTCCCACGCCCAGGAGCAGCGTCAAGGGCAGAGGTGCCTGCAGGTCTTCTCAGGTGCCTTGCCCTCTTGTCGACCTCCAGCCCTACTGGCCAACCGCCCATCCACCACCAGTTGTAGCAACACAGACCATGGACAGGGGCCAGCTTGAAGTTGGAGGAGCCTGGTTCCCACGTTCCCAGGGGAAGTTCTCATTTGTCCACCCAGACCAGAGCTTTGGAGAGTACAAGAGCAACTTCTCTGACCTCCCAAAATCTCCCTTCAGGCTCCAACTTCTCCACTTCTCCTAACATCTTAGTCTTCTAAGAAAATCCCTCACTATGTGATATTCATCCTGGTTTAGCTCCTCTGATTGAAGCCTGCCTAATTTACTGAGTGAAAGTTCAGAGGAAAACGGAAGTAGATGTACATTTTATGTTCCTAGCAGTTACAATGATATCTGGCCCAAGATTATCAAAGCGTGTTGAATGGATGGCCCGACAGTTTCACAAGATACAAATCCTGGGGCCACTGCTGTGGCATAGTGGGCTAAGCCTCGGCTGTGACAATGGCACCTTGTATGGGTGCTGGTTTATGTCCTGGCTGTTCTTTTTCCAGTCCAGCTCTCTAATATGGCCTGGGAAAGCAGTGGAGGATGGCCCAAGTGCTTGGGCCCCTGCACCTGTGTGGGAGACCTGGAAGAAGCTCCTGGCTTTGGGTGGGCCCAGCTCTGGCCATTGCAGCCATTTGGGGACTGAACCATCCGATGGAAGACCTTTTTCTCCCTCTCTCTGTCTGTAGCTCTACCTCTCAAATAATTAAATAAAATCTTTTTTTTTTAAAAGATACAGATCCTTCTAGATTTAATGTGTTTAAAAAATTAAGAACCAGAAAAATATCCAGAACCATTTATACTTCTCACATTGTAGTTCTCTACAGAGTTCCAGATCATGCTACTATATTAAAAGCCACTGATATTATATTCTATAACACACATCCCATAAAACTCAAGCTTTGACAAATGACTCCCTATTTCTCTTTAATAGCTTCATATTCTTTACAAATAGGCTCTTGGGTTTCCCCTCCTGGACCCATTTCTGATTTTTCTCCAGTTTTTTCCAGGACAGTGCAATCCGCAGTTGCATTCAATAGATTATCACTCAGTGACACTTTTGCAGATTCATCTGATTTCCCGACGAAGCAGCTATCACTGGTATTTTCTTGGTTTGGTGTAAGTTGCAGACAACTTACTGATACTTAGTACTTTTTATTTTAATCCTTGGAGGCATCATTGCCATTCCCCAAAGAAGTCTAAGCCCTCTCAGCATCTTCAGATGTCCCGCCTCCATCAGATGAGACTCCTGCTGCCTGCAGGGCTCAGTTACAGGCCCTGATACTGGGTTAGTGCTTCCTAAAACTTCTAAGTGGTAAATCAATGTATTGACGTCTCAGGAATCCTCAACAGTCACGTAGTGCTGCAAGTCATTCTACGTTTGGATTCTTGCACCAGATGATGCATTTTGACTATGTTTAGAGAATCTCAATTAGTTCTTGGGAGAAACTAAGGCAAATTTTCCATCCTAATTTTCAAAGGGCAAACACGAGATGTGAAGTGAGGATGCAAGTTCTTCACAAGCGGGCGAAAACCTGACGCAACGGAAAGTGCTTATCCTTAGCCTGAGCTCGCCCTGCAGGCTGTGCGCTGGTGGCATACCTTGAACTGCTTCCCACAGGTGGAGCACAGGAAGTCCTTGCGGTCCGAATGCCGAAGCATGTGCAGCCGCAGCTTGTCGGGCCGACAGAAGGCCTTGTCACACTCTGTGCACTGGTAGATTTTCTCCGAGTGGAAGCTGCGCACGTGCTTTTTCACCTGGCAAGAGAAGACCACGGGGAAACTCAGTTCACCAACGCTAGAGGGAGCCAAAGGCTTTACCGTGGACTTTCACCAGCCTGGCCGAGTAATCCAGTCAGATGGGATGACTGGCCTCAGTACCTATTATTATCCCTGCTACAAAGAGACAAAACAAAAAGCATAGGAAATCTTAACCTCTACCATGAAATGAAGAGAATAAAGAATGTTTGCTTGGTTAAAGCCCTAACCACTTAGAGAACATTTTTCTTAAAAGAGGGGCCCACACTGTAGTGTGGAGGGTTAAACCACTGCCCGCGATGCTAGTATCCCATTTTGGAGCACAGGTTCCGGTCCTGGCTGCTCCACTTCTGATCCAGCTTCCTGCTAATGCGCCTGGAAAGCAGTGGAGGATGGCCCAAGTCCCTGCCACCCACATGGGAGACCTGGATTTAGATCTAGGCTTTGGCCTGGCCCAGCCCAGCTCCCACTATTGTGGGTGTCTGGGAAGTCAGACAGCAGACGGAAGATCTCTCTCTCTTCTTGGCTCTTTGTCTCTGCCTTCCAAATGAATAAAATTAAAAAAAAAATTTTAATTTAAAATAAAACAAAGTAAATGCCTAGAAGAAAACATTTAAATGAAAAATAAAGAAAGCAGAGTTCCTTTCGGTTTAAATGAATCTTGCTAAAAATTACTTGTAGGAAGATAAAAAAAAATAATTCTCCCTCACTTTCTTCTGCCTTCAACACACACAGAAGCAATTTGGCCTCTGTCAGCCACCAATCCATCTACATCTAAAACCAGATTCTGAAGAATTACAGACATGAATTAGAGGACACAGAAAAAATTACCTGTTTATGAGAATAACACAGTACTAGTGTCACCTTTCTCAAACTGGGTTGTTCCCTTTACTTTGCATTAACTTAAATAAAGGACGATGGCCATTAAACTCTGCGAGCCATCCATACACAACGGAGGAGAGCTGTGGATGGGAGCTAAGTGGTGAGACACATCAAACTGTTCCTATAAGACATTTTGCTTCATTATTGTTGGAGTTTCTTTCTTTCTTTTCTAAAACTCCATTTGTCTTTAACTTTATAGATTTTTTTATCTTATAATTTTATTTGTATTTTTAGTATTTTTCATTGAAGTTCCTTCTTCTATTGAATTCTATCTTAAAGCAACCTTTCTAACATGTGTGTGAAGTGAGAAAACATCCAAGACTCTCAATACGGGCAGAAGTATGAGTCCTAGTCTCCTTTGGCTTTGGTAAGTCCTTTCTACAAGACATTTAGAATCAACTATTCACTGACTAGCAAATAAAAATATCACTTGATGTCCAAATGAAGTCCTGATTATTCTGAAACTTCAGCCATTTTGTTGTAACAAAGAATACACTACAAGGAGGCAGCCAGTGCATGATACAACAGTATAGTGTACACCAACTCTCTCTTTGTTTCATGCCAAAATATAAGACCTCGCAAAAGCAAGACAGTCTGAAACTACGGTGGTAGGGTGATGATGGTTCTAGTCTACAAAAGTGGGAGAATGTCTTCAATAGGCTCTACATATTTTATGAGTAACTGATAAGGACAAGGATTAAGAAAGACTCTCACAAAATTACAACTAGATCTGGATAGTTTTATTTGTAACGTGACACAAATGTTTAAACTGGCATCCCATAAGGACACCGATTCAAGTCCTGGCTATTCCACTTCCAATCCAGCCCCCTGCTAATGTGCCTGAGAAAGCAGGGGAAGATGGTCCAAGTGTTTGGGCTCCTGAACCCATATGGGAGACCTGGAAGAAGCTCCTGGCTCCTGGCTCCTGGCTTCAGCCTGGCTCAGCCCAGGCCATTACCATTTGGGGAGTGAACCAGTGGATAGAAGATCTCTCTCTTTCTTTCTCTCTCTCTCTCTCTTCCTCTCTCTCTCTCTCTCAATCTGCCATTCTGTCTTTCAAATAAATCTTTTTTTTTAAAAAGTGTGTAAAAAAATGTGTCAATGTCTGATCTGCACATTCAAGGATCATCATCTTTTGTGCATCAAAAGCAGTTTGAGGACAAAATATTCTCCAGTCCAAAGTTATTTCAAGGAAAGGATGACAACGCAGGTGCCAGGCAGCCCCAATCTTCCAAACACTGAAGTTTCTTTTACCAAAGAAGGAAGCAGACAGGAATCTCGGCAGCAGAGACACTCACCTGGATGAAATCTGGGAACCGTTTCTTACAAGTTGGGCAGGTGAAGTAGCCATCATTGATATGAATGGCCACGTGATCTTTCAACAAATCAAGGCGGTCAAAGGAGTCTGGGCAAAAAATGCAAGAGTAAGTCTTCTGGTCCGAGTGGAGCTTCATGTGGCTCTCCAAGGACGCACTGCTGATGAAGCCCTTGTTACAGAGGTCACAGGTCAGCGGGCAGTTCCCCTCCCGCCCATGGAAGCGCAAGTGTTGGTCCAGTTTGTCCTTTTCACGGAAGGCCTTCCCACACTGCAAACACTTAAAAGGCCGGAAGGACTTCCGAATAAACAGATGTTGAAGAGCTGCGTTCTGAAAGACATACACAAACGAGATTATGTAGGGTGGAAGTGCAGGGTGCAGGGGGATCACCGGTGTAGACAGAGAGAGGGGCTTTTCTGCAATCACAGGCTTCCCAAAGGAGTCAAACTCTTGGGCATGGACGAGGAGAGAAGACTGGCCTGGCAAAGGCGCGGAAAAGGAAGCCATCTTGGACAAGACAACTCTTTTTTTTTTTTTTGGCTTTTCTTTTATGTCTATGTAGGTGTGTTTGCTTCTGAAAGGATTTAAGCAACATTCAAACAAAGTGTTCTCAATAGAAGATCTGTATGATGAGACAAACCCCAGAATGGAATAGGATACAAACGAAAGATTTGGAAGAAAAGAGGGCGAGTCACATGGACATGCAGGAGGCTGGAGGAGTCAGCCAAACGTCACTTGCTGAAGTCCGTAAGCCAAAAAAGTCTGCAGCCTGATGGAAGTGTTCAGCAAAAACAAGCAACAAAGGAGCACTACAGGGCAGAACGCTTGGCCGTGGGTGGGTTTGGAAGAGCAGACAAATACAGGGCTTCCTTTGGGGGTGACGAATGTCCTGGAATTATACAGCGGTGACAGCGGAGCAGCTTCAGGAATAGTCCAAGAACCACTTTAAAAGGGTGAATTTTAGGCTATATGAATTGTAGACCTTAATTTTTACAAAAGAATAATTAAAAAGGAAACAAAGAGTTCGGATGGATGTGAATGTGTCCGTGAGGTATGGGGCCTGAGCACACACCATAAAGGGATCAAAAGCACCTCATCACTTCCTACTTAGAAACTGCGGAGGGCAAGTTCCAAGGCAGCTGGGTAGTTCTAGGGGCTAGCACGCCGCGCTAACCAGGGTAAGCACATTGCTTCATCCCCTGTCTAGAACAGTCAGTTTTGCTTTTCGTTCCATCACAGACTGCACCTTAGCTGACGAGCCATCTGTACACTCAGGCAGCTCTAGGGACTCCGAGTGAGAGAACGTGGGTACTCAGCGCAAACACCCAGGACTGCATGGAGAAACCCGTCACGCTCGGCGAGGACCGGATGCACAGGGTACCCTCTCAAGTCACAACACAGCATCAGGATTTCAGTTATGCTACCCACAAGCACTCATTCCTAAGTTCCTCAAAACACCGCGGGAAGGCTCAGATAGCTGTGAGAGGGGAGGAGAAGTCCCTCAAAGTGTACACCTGTGACCAGGGACGCCCATGCAGCTGTAGGGAACTGCAACGGAAGAATTAACGGAGCTCTTAAAGCTTTGTTTGTGCAATGAAGAAGGTACGTGAGCAACGCTTTTAACTCTTCATTACTTAAGAGCAGCGGCCTCTAAACTAAATTTGTTGTGAAATAATCATTTAAGGGAAGAAAGCAAAATAATTATTTTTGATTAAGTGAAATGCCTGACCACAGTCACTTTGTAAGAGATAAACTTCCTTCTCAGGGCTTCTCTAGCAGGGTGAGGAGAATGTTTTCAGACACCAGCTACTCGCTTAGCCTAAGAGGATCATTGGCGGCTCTGCTGACTTCCCAGGCTGACCATGGCTGCTGCCAGGAGTCTCCTTTGATTCTAGATTCCTCAATACATGGCTTACTTAGCTCATAGGAAACACTTGACAGTGGATTAGGCACTGGAATGTTTTTCACATGAACTTCAAAAAAAAAAACCATTTCAAGTTCTCTCCCGTATCATCTGCAGAGATCGTAAGAACAGATCTTTCCCAAACCAGCCACAGAACTTCCTCTCCTTGCTTCTATCGATGAGCAGCCACCTAATCCTTTTACCTCATCTGCTTAGATACTTATTTTACATAAAAGCTCCTCCCATTCTGTCTACTTTCTTTTTTCTTTTTTTCTTTTTTTTTTTTTTTGACAGGCAGAGTGGACAGTGAGAGAGAGAGAGACAGAGAGAAAGGTCTTCCTTTGCCGTTGGTTCACCTCCCAATGGCTGCTGCGGCCGGCGCACCACGCTGATCCGAAGCCAGGAGCCAGGTGCTTCCTCCTGGACTCCCATGCGGGTGCAGGGCCCAAGCACTTGGGCCATCCTCCACTGCACTCCCTGGCCACAGCAGAGAGCTGGCCTGGAAGAGGGGCAACCGGGACAGAATCCGGCGCCCCGACCGGGACTAGAACCCAGGGTGCTGGTGCCACAGGCGGAGGATTAGCCTAGTGAGCCGCAGCACCGGCCTCTGTCTACTTTCATGACTGACTTCAAGGAAAGATGGCAAACAGGTGCTACCGCTGAGGCACCAGCCTCAAGACTCAGGGCACACCTGCCCTGGCAGTCACTTCCTTTCCCCAAGTTTGGTGATGTTTCCAGGGACAGACGCAGCACACAGCGACTGATGCCGGTGCTGCCAAGGATGCCACTACCCCTCGGGGACAGAATCCTGCCCTTGGCTTTGGGTTGGTCCCTTTTGCTTCTCGAGTCTCCTGTCATTTCTGATTAGCACGCGCACCTCGGACACTTGATTTAATCTCAGCAGTGACCTGGCTCTGCTTCTTGAGTTCTGTTGACAACTCTTGCCATCTTTGTTCATTTCCATGGAGCTGTGAACACTGGCCAAGGCCTCAAGAGCAAGGCTGTCACTTCTCTGATCTAATGATTCCAATTCCTCCTATCACAAGGCAGTAACTGTGTTGGAACTGTCCTGCCCCTTGAGCCTCCTGCTGGCCACTGCTACCCTAGTAGACCGTCCGCAGCTCAGAGTCATATTTGGTGCATATTTTTACAAGTAATCATGACAAATGATGGCAGCGGCACACGGGCCCGTCGCGGGTTTTCTGCCCTGAGTTCCAGTTCATCAACTACACCAGACTGAATGGTACAGCAGTGGCTCTAAGGACGCCAAAACAGAATCATTGTTAAACTCTGTGCCACAGGAGTCCACTCACTTTGCAATGAAATCCCAGACAACACATTCCTTGCAGACAAAAGTCATAAAATGCTTCTGAAGTTCGATATTAATAGCTAAAGGAACCTAAATTATTAATCAATTTTCATACTATTTTGCTCTGACACTAAAAGGAAATCAAATAATCACATTGATTGGTTGGTTCTCCCTACCCCCTCCCTCCAAAAAAAGATTTATTTATTTGAAAGACAGAGTGACAGAGAGAAAGTGACAGAGAGAGCTTTCCACCTGCTGGTTCACTTCCCAAATGTCTGCAACGCCCAGGGCTGAGCCATGTCCAAGCCAGGAGCCAGGAACTCCTTCCTACTCTCCATGCGGGTGGAAGGGACACAAGCACTTGGATAATTGTCCACTGCTTTGCCAGGGACATTAGCAGGGAGCTGGAGCACCGGCACAGCAGCCAGGACTGGCAATCCAAGATGGAATACTGGCATCGCCAGGGTTGGCTTAACCCAATGCACCAAAGCCAGCTCCTGGTTTTGGTTTTTTAAAGCAACTTTTCTTTTGGCCTGCTTCCTGCCCAGCTTTCAAAAGCTCTGGTGGGCTGGCCCTGGCCAACATGCCTCACTCTCGACCGCCCTTCAATCAGCACTGGCGAGCGGGCCAAGTTGGTGTTTGTCCTATCCCATCATCAGAACCAAGCACACACCACATCTGTGCCTCTCACGCTATGGCTACCCTCCTCTGGAAGCATCAAACTCCTTCCTGGCCTCTGCTTCAAGGACCAGTCTGTGTGTCACCTCTTCCATGAAGTGTTCCCTAACTCCTCCATCTCTCTCTCTCTGGCCTTTTGCTCTTCTGAGTTCCTATAAGCAATTACATGTTGACTGTAAACTGTCTTCCATTCGTGCTGACTTCATATTCAAACTGTAAGCTCCCGGGTGACAAAGCTCAAGCAAAAATTCTATTGTATACCTAGCCCAGTGAATGACAGCTGGAACTCAGTACCATTCCGTATGTCATTCAGACGGTTGTAGAGCTGGAAGGGACCTTGGAGATCACTTAGTCCTACCCTTCATCTGTATACAAGGAATCTGAGGCCCAACATTTACCATTGACTTATATGCTAATAAATTATTAGGATTCAGTAATTTGCATTTACTGTAGCAACCAAACTGTGGTTTCCACCGTGATTTAGTGAGTACAGGTTGCAAAGAACGGTGGGTCAGGCACACACTTAAATAGCATTCTGTTAAGTGAAACACAGGAAACAAACCTACCTGCAGCTCCAACTGAGCAGGCAGCATTAGAGGAGAGAAAAATAGTTACATTACCAATTGGATTGGAAGACTTTCTTGCGGTTGGTCCTTACCAATCTGGATAGAAAAAATACGTAGCCTGCTTTTTAGAATGTGTGAGAGGAAAAAAAAAGAAAATACAGCCCAGATAAGACTGACCTCCAAATGCCATATACACATGGCTTTGGATTTGACACAAAGAATCTTATACTGAAACTAGTAAACCAACTCACTCAAAAACACATGCTCAACTATGGCTCAACTATGTTTGTATATCCACAGTTTCACTCTATGTATGGGCTTTAGTATTTTCCTTAAAAAAAAAAAAAATCTAGTAAAGATGTCTCTGGACTTAGTAAAAAAAAATCAGAATGGCAAAAGCAGAAAATATAGTATTTGGGTGCAAGAACGAAGTGCGGGAAAGACTGGGGAAGAACTGCCTTTCCAGCCTATATTTAAATACGCTTCCACAACCTGTGGAAGTGATCCAGACTCAGCCGAAACTTTCACATTTCAAAGACCCTCAGGAAGGTGGGTCAGCCTCAGAGTTCTTACAGCCTGTCAAAGCTTCTATGGCCATAAGTGCCTCAATGTATTTGTAGGCATGGACTGAAGGCATGGACTAGACTATTTTTCAAGGTCCCTTCTAGCCTATAGGCAAATAAGAAGACCAAAGGAAATAAATACTAAGCTAAAAGGACCATCCATCCAGAAAGTGTAGAACCAAGAAGACACACACAGTCTCTCTGACCTACATATAAGGTACCAGTACAAGTCTTTATGCACCCAGCTGCTGTAAACGTGGGTTTTATGCCACTGGGGGTTTTTGTTTTATCAGCACAGACATTCATCCCACAAACCCATGTTACTTTCTGCACACCTCCAGTCTCAAATCCTGCCTGGAAAACACATCTGCATTGGAAGCCACAGTTAAAGCCAAGAAGCAGGTTCACACCAATGGCCCGACACCGACTACTTCCGGAACCTACACTTCACTTCACGCTCTCCCCAGGTGCGTGGACTGCTCCTGGCTTAGCATCTTGGACACAGGCACCTCTGCACAGGTGTCTATGCCATTTGCTAGTTTCCCCTTGGAAAATGCAGAAAACCAAACTTAGTTACCCAAAGTTAACTTGAGAGCTACCACGAGGCACAGATTAGCCTGGCTTAAAATACAAAGTAATTATTACAATGCAATGTAGTTCCTTCTCCATTTTCAACCTGTGAACTTGGGGATGCAAAGAGCTATTCTACTTTAACTATACTAGTCCAGGAGCTACCAAAATCCTGGCTTTTGGGTCATTACTGAACTGGTTGAACCTGGCAGCCGCCACACTAGCCTACCACAGCACACAGAGACTTTGAGAAACTGTTTATACTTTCTTCCAAATCCAAGGGGTCATGTGTGTGATTAGGATGAGGCAAGACTCAGACGTGGATGGTGGGGAGGCTGGAACACAGCGCACCGACAAAGCTGGCTGGAGGAAGGAAGATGGACAGCCAGTGAGCGAGGGGCACGCTTCCCACTTACTCGGATGCGTTTGGCTCTGCGCATGTCGTCGGCAGTCAGAGTGCTCTGGGTAGGCGCCACGCTCTCCTCGTGCTGTGGCTGCAGGTGCAGGGTGTGGGTTTCTGGTTCATGGTCCAGGGAAGTCGGGGTTTCCTGCGGTGGCTGAGGCAGTGGGATAGGGGTCTGTCCTGGTTGGTCCAGCCCATTCGGAGTAGCTGGTTCAGTCTCATCAAACTGCTCCTTTGTGGGAAAATGTAGCAAATCCTGAAATTTGCAACAACCGGGAATTAGTTCCCTACCTGAGTGAAGATCAGTGCTGGGAGGACTGTCAGCTGAGATTTGGAATTGCTGCTGACTTTTAAATGACGAGATTCAAACCCCTCGGGACCAATGTTCTCCCACTGGGGGAGTTAATTAGGCACCTGTGCACGGACCACGAAAACTAGGAGGTGCTTCGGACCACTCTGCGAGGAAGAGACTTCTGGAATATCAATAATTTTAATTGTTTAATTAGACAAAGCCCTCCTCTAATACCTCTGGTTAATTACAAATCTTTAGGGCAGCCACGTTGGTTCCTGCCGTAACACTTGAAACATACATTCTTTCCTGCTAATTCTCCTGTCACACTGCGATGGCCAGCAGCAAAGCCCTCAGATGACAGGGCTGCGCCGTGTGAGAGGTCTCTATAACTTCAGTCCCGCCAGAGCCCTGGCCAGCCCAGACTGCAGCTTTCCCATCCCCAGTACCTGCGTCCCGTCATCACTCTTCTCCCCGTTCTCGCTCGTTATTTCCAAGCGGATAAATTTTGGAGGACGCCCTGGCCGCCGACCTGGGCCGAATCGTCTCTTGCCTCGTCCCCTTCCTCTGCCTCTCGTTCTGGGAACAAGACAGCGGGTTACAAATAATCACAGTTACAGGACACCACACCCCAAATATTCTCCTAGGTCATCCTTGCCTGCCCCAGAGTCTGACTTCTCACAGTTCCCCCAAGGAATGTGGCTAAATTCATGTTTTCAGTTCCTCCAACCCGAAACATGCTTGTAAACGCCACACACATTGTGTCCCCTTTCATGGGTCTCTAACACGCAAAAACCCCTGACTTAAGAGAGACTCCGAAAGTATGTCACGGAAACCTCTCTTGGAAGGGGCGTGCGGTCAGATGCATAAGGACGAACGCTGTGTGTTCTCAGATGTGGAAGCCGAAGTTGATGTCACAGGAGCAGAGCAGAGCAGAGGTGCCCAGGGCCTGGGAAGGGTGTGGGGAGGGAGGGCTGGAGGGAGGACTGGGACAGGGACCAGGGAGTGCAGGTGTGTAGGAGAGCAACTTCTGGTGTTCTGTACAGGGCACAGCGTGGTTCACAGCAATTAGTTCAATCATTCAAGAAAACCAGCAGAGAGGATTTTGAATGTTCCTAACACCTAGAAATGACAAACGTCTGAGGTGCTAAATATCAGCCACCCTGATCAAAACATGTATTGACATGCCACATGTATCCCCTAAATGTGGATGTACAATGAAAATGTGTCCCTTAAAAATAAGTTTTGAGGGGCCAACTCTATGGCATAGCAGGCTAAGCTGCCGCCTGCAATGCTGACAACCCATATGGGCACAGGTTTGAGTCCCGGCTGCTCCACTTCCAATCCAGCTCCCAACTAACGTGCTTGGGAAAGCAGCAGAAGATGACCCAAGCGCTTGGGCCCCTGCACCCACTGGGAGACTCAGATGGAGTTCCAGGCTCCTGGCTTCTGCCTGGCCCAGCTTTGCCTTTTGCAGCCGTTTGGGAAATGAACCAGTGGATAGAAGATCTTTCTCTCTCTTTCTCTCTCCCTCTCTCTCTATAACTCTGCCCTTCAAATAAATAAAATTAATCTTCATCCAAAAACAAAAAATAAAATACACAGCCCAACATTCCTCTCAAGTGTACACTGAACTGATGCCATGGAAAGGCAGCACTTGCTACTTACTGCCGATTGCTCAAACAAGACTCCCAGCACTAAAGAACTAACAACAACAACAACAAAATTGTTTTTTAAAAAAGACAGGCCGGCGGCACGGCTCACTAGGCTAATCCTCCGCCTTGCGTCGCCGGCACACCAGGTTCTAGTCCCGGTCGGGGCGCCAGATTCTGTCCCGGTTGCCCCTCTTCCAGGCCAGCTCTCTGCTGTGGCCAGGGAGTGCAGTGGAGGATGGCCCAGGTGCTTGGGCCCTGCACCCTATGGGAGACCAGGAGAAGCACCTGGCTCCTGCCTTCGGATCAGCGCAGCGTGCCGGCCGCAGCGCGCCAGCCGTGGCGGCCATTGGAGGGTGAACCAACGGCAAAAGGAAGACCTTTCTCTCTGTCTCTCTCTCTCACTGTCCACTCTGCCTGTCCAAAAAAAAAAAAAAAGATGTGGCTGTAGGAAGTGTATTATAATATTATTCAGATCATGTTTGATTCATTCTTACACACTCATCTACTTAACAATTTAACAAATGTTATATATTTTTTCCAGGAACCTGTAGAAGATTCTTCATTATGGAAAGTTCTGAACCTTGGTAAATGTAGAGACAACAGCATTAGGAATCTAACACGGGTACCTACAACCCAACTTCAACATTTAGCAATGCATACTCAACCTTATTCCATCCAGAGCCCCCTACTAGCACACACACATTCCCATTAGACTGTTTCGAAGCGGGCCCCAGACATCATTTCATCTGTAAATATTTCAGTATGTATCTCCAAATCATAAAGACTCTTTGTATATCTGTAACCACAATACCATTATCACACCTTCAAAAAGCCTGTCACTCACTCAGTATTATTCTATCTTGCCAAAGTCCAAATGGTCCTAAGTCTCAAACTCCTATCAGCTGGCTAAAAAACATTTTATCTGCTATATGTCATTCACCATCCTAGCCACAAAAGTTATAAAGTTATATGCAACACTTTTTTTCCCCCTGCAGAGGTGTAGGAGAAGCAGCAGACATATAAACCAAAATTGCAATATAAAAAGTGCCACCACAGTAGAGCTACCAACAGTTTTAGGGATACCAGGAGGAGGGAGTTAACTTTCACTGTCTGCCCCCTCAGATACTTCTTCCTGTGGTCACACCCTAGACTTTGCTATCCTCAGTAAGTCTCCCTCACTAAGGCCCCAACCCCTTTGCCCACTCTGATACCATCTCTAGGTACGCACGCGCACGCTCTCTCTCTCTCTCTCTCTCTCTGTCTCGAGCGCGCGCGCCCTCTAGAGCTGGATGCAGCAACTCTTCAGCCTCACAGCTCCAATCCAATTGCTCTGTCACTGACCTGTAATCCTACACCCCCTTTCTCACTCAAACTCCAAGGTCATTCAGTGTAATCACTCCCTAGGATTTGCTCTCAATTCCCATGCCCACTGCTGCGTCATTACCCCGCCGGCCTGTGCACGCTTGGCAAAACCACAACCCTGTGTAATCCAGTTCCCTGGCCGCTCTGCCCCAGGGCCCTGGCAGCTGCGTGAAGCTGCAGAACAGCACGCAGCCTTGCGAGTAGTCTCATTTGCACTTCATGACCATGAACCCCAAGTTCATATTGCAGGTAACTGTGGCGTACCTTCCCTAGAACATCCACTTTCCCACTGGCCTGGATGGCACTTCTCATGGCCTCCAGTCTCCAAACCCCATAAACGTTGACAACCCTGTATCTGTGCCACTGGCACTACCCTATTCCAGCTCAACTGTTGCAACAGCTTCTACACGAACTCTTGGTCTTCACTCTTACTCCAGGATAGGTCAACACGATGTTTCAATTGATCCAGAGGGATCTTTTAAAACTAAATTAACATCAGAACACTCCCCAGGCAGAACCCTCTGAAGACTTCCTCCTTTCACAGTTAGAATAAAATCCAAACTTCTAACCGTCACCCTTAAGGCCCGACCTGACCCGGCACCTGCTCACCCTATCCTACAAGACTGTCCCCTCATCTGCCTTTTTTTACATAGTGGAATTAAACACAGGATTTAGTTTTATAAAGGCATTGTTCCACTGAAAAAAAAAAGCTTGAAAATCAGAGTTACAGATTATTTCAAAGGAATTCAAGAATGCCTATTTCAGAATCTCAAGGGGGACTATAAGGTGAGAGGATCGCTCTTTCTTGGTATTGGTTAAGTGGAAATGATTAAATAGCAAACAGGGGTCGGGAGAGGAAATGGCAGGTAAGACATTCCCATTCCCCTCGGCAGGCTCCCAGCAGCACCCGATTACCTGGTTACTCCTCCCTCCCTCCCTCCCTCCCTCTCTCTCTCTCTCTCTCTCACACACACACACACACACACACCAGGCAGCATTTACTAGTTCACAGAAGGTACAGAAATGATTCTGAACCTTTACAGACAAACTAAATGCATAAGCACGTCCCCTCATATATACCTGCTAAACACATCCAGTTTCTCATCATGAGAATTGAGATGCTGTTGCAACTGCTCTGAGCTTACAAACCGGCGATTACATTCATAGCAGGGCCAATTCTTCTCTTGCTCTCGAAGAACTACAGGCACAGGAGAGAAATCATAAAGGCTGATGATCAACAGATACCAGCAAAACTCAAAGGCCCGCCGCCTCCACCATTCTCATCTCACTGCAGCCCGAACAGGTCATCATTATATGGTATCTTCTATGTGCATGGCTGCTTTGTTATGAAATCAAAGGCTTTATAAATTTTGGCAGAGTTCTGAAAACTTATTTTCTGATACATTCATGACAGACATCAAAGGAACAAACATCCTCACACTATCTCCCATCTCCCATATGCATAAACCAACCCACTCACACCCATCCACCCACACACATATACACTCACCACTCTGGGAAGACAGAAAGACCTACAAAGAAGGCCTGATTCAGATAAATTAGTGATTCAAACCCTAGTTCCACAACCTAATCACTTGATCACAAACCACTTAAATGTCAATGTGTAATATAACTACCCAAGCAGAATGTCTAGAAGTATCTACTAAAGCTAGATACGTGCATATCCTACAACCCAGCAGCTCCACTTCTAGACACATGCCCAACAGAAGTGCACACAGATGTTATTAAAACATCTTGACACCTAAGGTCATAGCACTCTTCAAAACAGCCAAACCCAAAAACAATCCAGTTGTACAGTAAAGAATTTGGCTGACTTCTGTCTCTGATTCCTGGGAGGTAACCGCTAAATCAGGGGAATTTACCAAGTTGTAGGAGCATCTTTTTATTCATGGTGGGCTGCAGACTGAGTTTAGTCGCACGGCTGATGACTCAATCCACCATGCCTCCAAAGCGATGCCCTGATAAAAACTCTGAACACTTAAGCTCGAGTGGGCAGCTACGGTTGGCAATCACACATCACTGGGCCAGGAGGGTGACCACCCTGAGGGAAGCCGAGGCCCCTCCCAGACCTGTCTACAAATCTCACATGGCTGGTCCTGATATGTATCCTCTGCAATAAAACTTTAATGGTTAAATACAGACTTTGTGAGTTCTAGGAGTCATTCTAATGAGGGGATATTGGGAACTCCCCACATTGTAGCTAGCTGGTCAGCAGGGAAATCGGCTGGTGTCTGAGTGAGGGCAGTCTTGAGGAAGACTGTGCCTTTAACCTGTGAAATCTGACCTAACTGGTGGGAGAATTATAGTGTTAGAATTATAATGCCAAATCTACAGTAAAGTATACAAATCAATTGTGACAGAGTCACAAAACAGAATCCCACACAGTGAGAACACCTAGGTTACAATTATATACAACAACGTGGCTGATGTCCAGACCCAAAAGTGCAGATATCATACACTTCTATTTATGCACAATTGAGGAACAAGCCTATCATATCATGTGTGGTATTGGCGGTCCAGACAGTAATTACACCTGGGAGTGAGAAGGAATTAGAAGTTCCAGGTACCTGCCATATTCTGGTTCTTATCTGGGGCAGGTTAGTCAGCTGTGTTCACCTTGTGAAAACTCAGCAAGCCACATGCTTAGGATTTGTGCATCTTTCTCTATGTAGATTATACTCTGCTAACATTTACATTAAAAAAGAACGCCAATGCTTGCCTTGCCATGTCCTTAGAGATAATTAAATCTAGATAGGAGCTGCCCTCTGTACTAGGTTCTAATTTCGTATTTGGAGGTTTTCATTATATTAAATACTATTTTCCAGCTCCCAGGCAAGACATGTAAATACTCCTATGTCATTGAAATCCAATCCTAGAATTAGATGGACATGGGCAGCTCTAAGAAAACTACTGGGATATCTTCTGCAATAGCTTGAGATAGGAAAATTGGAGGTGACATAAAGATAAAACACAAACAAGTCAGAATTCATAGAGGGAACGTGAAATATAAAAGTCCAACCACCTTTCCTTTCTTCCTCGGAGATGTCATGGATTTTCTGATTCACGAACTCGGCATAGGATGCAGCATACCACACCTGCAAGGACCAAGGAGATGGTCAAGAACTAAGGGAAGATGCCAGATATGCTTTGCATGCTTAGTTTATTTCTCCTGTTTACACGAAGCAATGCAGGTTTTTCCACAGCCTGTTAAAAAATGTTTGTAATTTTTAATATAACACTGAGACCCTCTCCCATAACACCCATCCAGCACGCAGACTGTGAGGAAGTCCATCTGTGAAGACACACTGCCTGTTTGCTGCTTTTTTCTTTTAAATTATTTTTGTTATTAGAACAACTTCACAAGAATTATATTCAAAGCTTCTTTATCTAAATGAAAACAGCCTCTTCTGGTTTTCTAATCTATATTTAAACACAGGCTTTTACTCAGTTGTAATCACAGTGGCTGCCACCCTCCCACCTGCCCTGGGATCACCAACGACTACTTCAAATACTCTGTCATTGTCTCGGGTCTCCCCTCCCTCCTACTCCGCCAGCTGCCTGTGCTCACTCTCCCTGGCCGGTTCCCCTTCCTCTCCCTAACTTCCAAACAGAGCATTCCTCAAAGCCTAGCCCAAGACCAGGGCCTTCTTCCTTCATGTCCAACCAACACTACGCTAAGGACTCGCAGAGCCTCGTTCCCGGTCCCCTCTAAGTGCACTGTCCTGCTGACCAGGTATTGTGGCTGTCTCCCTGACTGCTCGAACTCTGCACATCCACGAGAATTCTCCAGGCTTCCCATTCACATGCCCGCCCTTCTGTCACCCCACCTCGATAAATACCCTACTTACCACCCAGCCGCTCAGACCTGGAACCTAGAGGGCGTCTGATTTCTCCCCTTGGCTGCTGTTTAATATTTCAGCAAAGATGGTGGCTTCTTCCCACATTCACTGCCTCTGCTTCTGCCACCCACGTGCAGGCCAGGATTGTCACCTGCCTGGGTGACCACCAGACTGGCCTTCTAACAAGGCTCCCCTCTTCCCTGTAGTCCACACAGTAGCCAGAGCGGGCTTCGTAAAACACCATCAGACTCTGTCATGCCAGCGATGGCGTCTCATTTCCTAATAAACCTAAGGCTTGAGCTGAGCCCCAAGGGCTCCGTGATGCCCCCATCTCTCTAAGCAACCTCAGCCCTTGTGCCCCTCCCTTGCCCAACCCTGACCCCAAAAGGCCTGCCCCCAGCTCCTCAAACATGCCAGCACTTCCCCATCCTAACCCTTGCTGTTTCACCCCCAGGAATGCAGGGTTCTGGCCCAGGCCATCCTCTGCACTCCACAGCTCTCAGCTCAACCAGCAGCCCTTCATCGAGGCCTTGCCCACCCATCAGATCCAAGTTGGTTCCTTTCCCGTCACTTGCTGGTTTCCCACCATAGCACTTACCCAAGTTGATTTTATCTGCTTGCTTACCTCTTTCTAGCCACTTCCCCCTCCAGAATGCAAACTCCCTGAACACTATTTCTAGTGGCTGCAACACAGCAGGGGTTCAATCACCGAACATTGTTAATGCCCTACAATGTTTACGGAAGATTACTTTAAATATATGGAGACATCTGTCTAGGGAGACTTCATTTTTAACTGGGGAACAATATTCGACAGGGTGTGAATTCCATCATTTACTATGCCCCTTTTAGGTGGTTTCTCATCTTGCTGTTTCAGATTCTAAGCCTCAGTTCCAAGATTTTCCATTTTCAGATTTTAGCATCTGAGAAATCACAATGTGTCTCCAACACTGTTGTGCTCTACAGTCACTGCTATGCCGGTGCCTTGCGACAGGCTCAGGCTCCTACACAAACCTGGCCAAGCTCTTCGCACTGTTCCACCTCATCCTGTTTCCAGCCCCATCAGCACTCCATGGATTGTTAACACTTGCCAAGCAATGCAAATGAAGACAAAAAAATAATCCATCAGAATAAACAAAAGAAATATCAAAACCATGCAAAGCTGGTGAGCATCCCTACAGCGCCTCTCTCATTAACGCATCAGACAGCGGATTGTCAGAAACTTCCTACTGACTCCATCAAAAGCCAATTAACTTCCAAGGATAGGAGATTCAACCGAGGAAAAAGACACAGACGAATTCATTCAAATGAGAAAGCACGAGTATTAAATCCTGCAAAAATCCTAGTGGTGGCCTGGGAAAACAGCCCTGAAGCAACATTGGAGAATATAACTTTAAAAATAGTGTATCATCATGGGGCTGGCATTATGGTGCAGCAGGTAAAGCCACTGCCTGCAGAGCCAGCATCCCACATGGGTGCCAGTTCGAGTCCTGGCTGCTTCACTTCCAATCCAGCTCTCTGCTATGGCCTGGGAAAGCAGTACAAGATGGCCCCAAGTCCTTGGGCCCCTGCACCCAAGTAGGAGACCTGGAAGAAGCTCCTGGCTCCTGGCTTCAGATGGGCACAGCTCCAGCTGTTGCAGCCAATTGGGGAGTGAACCAGTGGGTGGAGGCGTTCGCTCGCTCTCTCTCTCTGCCTCTCCTTCTCTCTCTGTGTAACTCTGACTTCCAAATAAATAAATAAATCTTTTAAAAAAACAATAGTGTAGCATCATCAACACTCCTGCTGGTACAGATGACGGTGCACACAAAAACACCAAGACCATGGTAAAGTAGAGCAGTGATTCAGGAAAAAAGTCAGACTCCGCACACAAAGCCATTTACACCTTAACCAATTTATTTTGCCTGTGTGCCTTTTTAGGTATACACGAGTATGCTGTGACTTGAAAACGAAGTCGAAATAAGTCTAAAATGGTTTGCTCAAGAAATATAAAATAATGATTTCTGTTGCTGTTAGAAAGGCATCACGGAGGCAGGAGTTTGGCACGGCAGTTAAGACTTGGCACAGGATGCCTGCACCTCATGTCGAGAGGCCTAGTGTGAGTCCCGATGCTGCTCCCCATCCCAGCTTCCTGCTCATGTGCAGGCTAGGGAGATGAAGGCTCAAGTAGCTGTGTCCCTGTCCCCCATGTGGGAGACATGGATTGAGTTCCTGGTTCCTGGCTTCAGCCTATCCCAGCCCCAGCCATTGTAGACATTTGCGGAATGAATGAACCTATGGACAGGAGATCTGTCCCTTTCTCTCTTTTTCTCTCTTTGTCTCTCTCTCTCTTTATAACTCTTTCCCCTCACTCCCCCTGCCTTTCAAATGAATAAAGTTAATAAAAAAAAGAACTAAAAAAATTATTGGAATAGACAGCGTTAAGGCTGGAAGATTATTTAGCCGATGGTTTCAACGATAAGTTCTGGGTAGCTTTTGAACAAAATCCAGGTCTTTGTTCTCCTCCCAAAGAGGTATCAATTTCTGTTCTTTTTTTTAAGATTTATTTTATTTATTTGAAGGGCAGAGTTACAGAAAGGGGGAGACAAAGAGAGAGGTTTTCCATGCACTGGTTCACTCTCCAAATGGTCACAATGGCTGGGGTTGGGTCAGGTAGGAGCCAGCAGCTTCTTCCAGGTCTCCCACATGGGTGCAGGGACCCAAGAATTTGGGCCATCTTCTACTGCTTTCCCAGGCACATTGGCAGGGAGCTGGATCAGAAGTGGAGCAGTGGGGTCTCAAACCAACATCCACATGATATGCCAGTGCTGCAGGTGGTGGCTCAATTGGCTCTCTAAAGAGGTATCAGTTTCTAGCTTTCACCACTTTTGAGCGTCTTGCAGTTCAGTGTTCATGTACTGATAGGCCATTTCTCATCTATTTTTCCTTTTGTATCAGGAAGGGAACTCTGACTCCTTCTTTTGGCCATGTCCCGAACATAAGCTTTTGAAAAGAAGAACTTGGCATTTACAGTCACAGCAGAATTTTCATTATGTCATCAGATGTAAATATTTAAATTCCAACAGAGTTTCCACAAAATATGTATTCCTGAAATCAGAAGTCAGCATGTAGAATTCTTTGAGTCCATGTAACATTTAGACAAAAGGAAAAGAAAATCCTACCCAGACATCTTTATTCGATTTTACAAAATGTCCTATTTCCCAGCTCATTTTTATCTAGCATGTGTACGTGCTAAGTGATCATCACCTCAATCTCCCCAGCACTAACTCCCGTCGGCCACAAATACCTACTTCCTTACCCGTGGACTGAAGGCCTCTGTACAAGTCTTTTACAAGCTTCGAAGCCACGTACTTTTCATCACGTTTTATTTACAGGGTTATTTCAGCAACTACTCAACAGGTAAGTGAATTAAACAGGAAAGAACCATTTTTGTAAGAATCCCACTTTAGGAAAAAAAAAAAAAAATGACAACGGGCCCTCAACAATGGCTTCTGCTAGCAGAGGGCATGGGCGGCCGGCAATGTACCTTCAGCTCCTGCTTGGGCTCCACGTTCTTTATCGTCGTGTAGTACACGTGGTGGCCGTACTGGTACGCCACCAGGTTCTGCTCCAGGTGGTTCTGGGCTGGACGTACAAACATCATCCAGTTACAAAGGGTCTCATCAGACAACTCAAACCACAGGTCTTCATGCAAATCCCTGTCTTTTCTGTCCCCTTTATCAAGAGAAACCTGCAACCAAAGAGAAAGTAAAAAGCCACACCAAACACACAAACAAGTAAAGCCTTCAATATGACTCACGTTATGTCACAATATACAAAGTACTGCTCCTTAAGTTAACCAAGCATCCTGATTCTTCCCTTTGCATCTAGAAAGACACTGCAACCGTGATTCGCCAAAAGTAAGACAGTGGATACTTTGGCCTCCCCTGAAGGAGAATTATCCAGCAAAAATTTTTAAATTATCAGTAGAATGACATGATTTAATTCATATTTTATAACAATATCACCAAAAAATGCTACAGATAAGCCAGAATATGCATACAAAACACTCTCTAGTGCCTTACAACTTGCCTTCTCTGTGGATCCAACTGCACTGGATCAAAATACGAGAGACATGTACTTCTCTATCAGAGTAAGACTCTTGCTGGGAATCTCCAGCACTTAGCAAAGAAAACCTCCCTGTTGACAGCGATGTCTCAAAAACCACATCCCCACATTCACCCCTTCCCACAGCCCTTTCCCGGGCCTCCAGAGTGGCTATCCAAGAAGCAGATCACACAGAACGTTGGGCAGAAATTAAAACATCAAACATAAAGCATAGAGATCAATATAAATATGCTTCAACATACAGTGAACTATTCTTTAATGAAAGATTTGACAGGACAGGCATGTTTCAAATTTGAAAAGTGGCTTTCTTGCAAACATTAGTATCACATGACAGATGATTTAAGTCTGCAAAGTTCTCTTTGTAAGCCAAAGTTGTTTTAAAAAAGGAAAAAAGGGGCCAGCACTGTGGCACAGTGGGTTAACCCACTTGTCTGCAGTGCCGGCAACCCATATGGGCACTGGTTCAAGTCCCAGCTGCTCCACTTCCGATGCTAATGCACCTGGAAAGGCAATGGAAGATGGCCCAAGTGCTTGGGACCCTGCCGCCCACATAGGAGACTGGAATGAAGTTCCTGGCTTTGGCCTGGCCTAACCCTAGCCATCTGGGGAGTGAACCAGTGGATGGAAGATCTCTCTCTCTCTCTCTCTCTCTCTCTCTCTCTGTGTGTGTGTGTGTGTGTGTGTTTCTCTCTCTCTGTCTGTAACTCTTGCCTTTCAAATAAATAAATCTTTTAAAAAATTTTAATAACAAAGAAGGAAAAAGACTGTCAGAGCTCCTGTTATGAGCTGAATTGTATACCCCCAAAATCATGCTGAAATCCTAATCCCCAATCCCCCAGAATGTGACTGCATTTAGAGACAGGGCTGTTCAAGAGGTAAAGTCAGGGAAGGCACTCAACCTAATGAGTGAGATGCCTGTTAAGACACCTGCATCAGGGCTGGTATTGTGGCACAGTGACTTAGGCTACTGCCTATGATGCCAGTGGGAGACTCAGCTGCTGTACTTTCAATCCAGCTCCCTGCTAATGCACCAGGGAAAGCAGTGGAAGAAGGCCCATGTACTTGGATCCCTGCACCTATGTGGAAAACTTAAATAAAGCTCCTAGCTCCTAGCTTCAATCTGGCCCAATTTTGGCCATTGCAGCCTTGGGGAGTGAACCAGCAATAAAAGATCAACCTCTCTCTCTCTCTCTGCTTCTTCTCTCTCTGTATACACTCTGCCTTTCAAATACATGTTTAAAATATTTTTAAGAGCAAACAAATAAAAAAGACACCTGTGTTCCACAGCAGAGCGCCTGGCATCAATTCCCAACTATAGCTCCCGACTCCATCTTCCTTTTAATGGACACTGTGGGTGGCAGAGGTGATGGCTCCACCCATGTGGGAGACTGGATTGTGTGCCCAGCTCCTGGCTTTGGCCAGGCTTAGTCCTGGCTGTTGTAGGCAACTGGGGGGTGAATTAGCATATGGGAGATCTCTGCTGTCTTTCTCCCTCTGCCTCAAATAAAATGTAAAAATAAAATTTGTTTAAAAAGTAAGCAAAGAACATTAAATAAGGTAATTGGTGGGTGTTGTGATACAACATGTTAAGTTGTCACTTGAGACTCCTGCATCCCCTGTCACAGCAGTGGTTCAAGTCCTGGATACTCTATGCTTCTGATCCAGCTTCCCGCTAATGAGTCTGGGAGGCAGTAGATGGATCCCTGACCACTGCACGGGAGACCTGATGGAGTTCCTGGCGCCTGACTTCATCCTGGCCCAGTCTCAGCTGTTGTGGGCATTTGGGAAATGAACCGGCAAACAGAAGTACTCTCTTTCTCTTTCTCTCTCTCTCTTTCTGTCACTTTGCATTTCAAATAAATATATAAATCTTCAAAAAATAATAGACATCAATGCAATGGTTGACGCACCCTAATCCGATATGACAGTCCTTGGAACACAGGCGACTAGGACACAGCCAAGCGTGCACACAGAGGAAGACCCTGGGAGGTCACAGCCAGAGGGGGGCTGTCCACGCACCACGGAGGGAGAGGGAGGCCTCAGCAGAAACCACGCCGGCTCCCGTCTTGGTCTTGGATGTCCAGCATCCAGAATTGTGAGACACAAATTTCCCACTTGAGCCACCAGCCTATGGCATATTATGGGAGCCCCAGTGAACCACTACTGCCCCCTCCTCCAACACTACACGTCTTGGAATACTTCACGTAATGTGACACGGAACTGAATTGCAAACCTCTGCTCTATTGGTGAGAGTTTCCACTGACAACAAATCAGGCATAGAAAGTAAAACACACGTAAACAATTGCTGTGAAATTGAAATTGAGAGATGGCTGTAAAAAAAAAAAAAATGAGTGCCCTTGGAAAAACTGTTAAGAACCAGGTGAAGGGCAATAAAGCATTAGTTACCTTTAGGTGAATGTAACAGTCTTTCAGCTCGGAGCCCCTGACGAGGGGCCCCTCCACGGGGCCAAACTGGGTGCGCTTGGGGATGCGCCTCTTGGAGAACACCCCACCAAGGAACCTGTCTATGTAGAGGACCAGGGGCAGGCTGGCTCTGGCGCGGGTGAGCACGGGCCGATTGGGGATCGGGTGCAGCGGGCCGTGCTTCGGGCACACTGAAGAATGGGCGTTGTTACACTCCTCACACCCTACAAAAGAGAAGAACAGTCCAATTCCTCAGCAAGACTTGACCCCAAGCAAAAAGTTCTGACCTGAAAAATCCCCAAATCTAAGTTTTCAAGCCAAATTCAATTAACTCCTGCAGTGGCACCATCTAGCCAATTTTAATCCATTAGCTTTCACAGACCAATAAAAAAAAAATCCTGTAATTTTCCTCTTAACATCAGGCAGAATTTGCCTACGCCTGCCAAAAATAATATGCAGGCTGTGACTTTTTGCTCTGCGGTTTGGTGAGTCAAACAGTGGCCAGTAAATCCACAAACCAACTACAACGTGCCTGAAAAAGACAAAAAAGAAGCCCTTATCAGGCTAAACGTTGCAGAAATCTGATGAGACAAAAGTAGGTGAATTCTGTAGTAGGTAAATTCTACCTCAATAGAGCTGTTAGGAAAAAGAAAACCCCCCGAGAGTGCTGCTGAACCAGTGTCCTCCAAGGGAGTCAGAGGAGCCGCACCACCCAGGCAGGACTAAGAGGGAAGGTGCTGCTGAGCAGCCCGGGGCCCAGCGCACAACCAGCGCACTGCATGATGACAGCGCTAGAATGAATGAACGCAGCACCCCACCCTTCGCTTGGACATTCTAGTGCATTCTAGGGGTGTTCAGCTTGCACTGGTCCAGCCCTCCCCCCTCACTGCTCTCCCCACTTCTTGGCCAATAGCATTCATCTCTGAGTCAACTGTCAGCCACAAACAACACAAACAAATCCACTCTGACTCTACTCAGGCCAGGTGGTGGGCTGGGTTAGGTATTTTCAACTTCTGTAAGTTCTCAAATAATGGAGAGCTACTCTGTACGAATAGTGAGAGGACAAAGCCACTTTCTGTACTTCTGACTTCGGAGTTGCCTTGAGAAATTGAAAGAAATTCAAGGAGAAACAACAGGAAGGAGTTCTCCGGGCCTGGATGTGGAGCTTAGACAGTGGCCCCACGCAGACAGATTCTGTCACTGCCACCCAGGGGGTGTGACAGAAGCTGCGTGAGGTCCCAGAGTTCAGAAAGCCCTGGTAACCCCCATCAGTGAGGCCAGAAGTCGGCCAACAAGCAGGAAAACTGACAGAAAGGAGCAATGATTTGGTAAGAGGGGAGCAGAGGCCTCGCAGGCAGGCCAGAAAGAGAGGCAGGAAGGTAGGTGTTGGGCCTAACACAGGCCGCCTGGTTTGGAATCCTGACTCACAGCTCACTAGCGCGACCTTGGAAAACCCCACCCCTAGGACTGCGCAAAGCTAGAAGTGCATTAGTGAGTGGGGAGGGCCAGTGCCTGGGGCATGAGGTGCGCTTTTAAGAGCTGCTTAGGAAACAAGTAAAGCAGCAAAGCAAACATGGGAGCTGAAATGGCTGAACAGTCCAGGACCGCACAATCTTATCATGCATCCAGGAGCTGAAGTGCTGGTACCGAGAAACCCTAAGCTGGGGTTCCCCCACCCCTGCCCCCCAACGCAGCCCTGAGATACAGAGCAGGTTGCATAACTTCCTCTGAGCTGCAGCTTCCTCGTGGGGAAAACTAGAGAGCAGGCAAGCAAGTCTGGGGAGATGATGCGTGCAGAGCGTGGGCCAGAGGGAGGACTCAGTGCATGTGTGTGGACCGTGTTCACACTCACACTCCTGCACACACACACACACACGCATATGCACATGCACACATCACATAAAGGAACCCACAGCTCAGCTCAGCCCCCACACTTACACAGGTCATGGGGGTCAAAGGGCCGGGGCGGGTCCGGCTCCCAGTCATCCAGATCTGTGTCTTCACCATCTTCTTCCTCATCTTCCTCTGTGTCCTCGTCCTCGTCCTCATCCTCTTCCTCTTTTGCCTCCAGTCTCCCTATAGGGTTCTGCAGAGCTGCCAAAGGGTCGGAACCGTCCACGCTCTCAATGGAGGGCAGCACCTGGTTATGCACTGGCAACGTGGCCTGTACGACAGTGCAAAGCACAAAGTGAGCAGACACCTGCATTTTGTCGGCTGGTGCACACACACACACACACACGCACATGTTAAGTGCCAGGTTGTGGTGGACTGAATCCTTCACGCTGGCTCCCTTCAAGGCCCTGGAAAAATGACTTCCACCTGTAGCAGTGAGGAGGAATCTGGTTTCATTTTGGATGTCACAACCTTCCCTTACCCCCTGCCCCACATCTGGGCAGCCTGAGAAGCCAGCCTGGGTGCTTCCTCCTCCGGCACCAGTGGAAGACTCACACCCGGCAAGATCCTGACCACGTGCCTCTGACCCACCTGAACCTCAGTGAAACCCACGGTCCTCTCCTCACTCTCAAGGCACACCACACCTGCCTGCCCAGGGACTTCAAACATGGAGGCAGTAGGCCTTGTCATAAGCCACCTATGTATGGGACCATCAGTCTTCATATCAGAGCCAAGTTGCGGGTCCCTCCCTTACTGGCGGCCATCAGCTAGGAGAGGGAATGATCTGACCTGCCTTCAGCCACCTCACTTGTGAAACTGTGCATCTGTGAAACTCAACAGTACAACACGTGGCTGGTCCCATGCCACGGTACCAGCCAACAGCTCTCCCTTTAAACATGGAAGAGAGGTTGAGCTTTTAAAGAATGAGGAGTAGACATTTGATGCATCAGTTAAGACGTCAGTTGGGACATGCACACATCGTATATTCATGGGCCTGGGTTCAAGTCCCCGGATCTGCTTCCAATTCTAGCTTCCTGCTAATGCACACCTGCATGGCAGCAGATGGTGACTAAAGTACTTGACACCTATGTGGGAGACCCAGATCAAGTTCTGGGCTCCTGGCTTCAGTCTGGCCCTGCCCCACCTGTCATGGGATTTGGGCAGTGATCCAATGAATCAAAGATCTCTCTCTCTCTCTTTCTCCCTTTCCCTCTCTTTCTTGTCTCTCTGCCTTTTGAAGAGATATTTTTTTTAAATGGGCCTGACTACATGGACACACTCACACTTGAGAATAAATAAGTAGAGACAGAAAATGGTGCCTACTTGTTTCACCATGCTGAAGTCACTCTCTTGCAAATAAGATGAGGTTTGGGTGGCAGCGTATCGGTTAATGCCATCTCACCAAATGCAATGACAGGGGGAAAAAGGCACACTAAGAAGTTCTCTTGCCTCCAATATGAATTGATTCTTAATCCCTTTCAACCAATCTTACGTCTCCTGCCTGATTAGCAAGCTGGGGTCAGATTCAAGCTATGTACCCTTCCTACTCAACAAACCAAGTGCTTTAAGATGCCGATCCCTGCTTCTTTGTCTTCCCATTTGCTGTCTGCCTCACCAAGCTTCTACAACCTATCACATTCCAGTTTCCCAGTGAACTAACTCTGGTGCCTCCAGCCTTCCCTGACTCAGCTCTCCACTCTTACAGCACGCAGAGTCATAGAAGCCCATGCTACCCAGCCCTCAGCCTCACCCCTCCCCTAGGCACCCCTAGTCATTTTGGGACAGTTCTGTGACAGTTTCCATGGGGGCCAGAGCTCCCTGTACCACAGTATCTTCCATGCATTGGTTGGAGCCTGGGACTTTGCTCTGGAGTTAGGTAAATTCCCTGCCACATGAGTCGAATATTTGAAGACCAAAAACCTGTAACTCATTCTATCATTTCTCATATTGTCCAATTTCCAGCTCCAGTCCTCTCATTGTCTTCATTTATCCCTCAGTGGATTCTGTATGATTGTGACCACAGTGTCAGCCTGAATTAGGGCTTATGACAGCCAGTGCTCTACAGTTAACTAAAATCCCCGAGTCCCGTTTCCCCCTCATAGACAGCTATTAAGCCATTTGTCTCCTCCTTGGAACTTCAACAGATGGTTTCACTACATGGTGATTTTGCATTTATCACCAGTAAACTCACTTTATGGCTTTTATGCCTCCTTCCCAGTGTGCCAAGACCCTTCAGAATCCCGAGTCTGACACCTCCCATGTTAGCTATCACTCAGAGAGGCCCTGTAGCCATTGCTAAAAGCCTTTGGCCTTGGCAGAGAGCAGTCACTGCCACGTGAGTCCACCCTGCCTCTGTACCCGGCCCTCAGGAAAGGAGAGTATGAGGTTGGGAGGCACACAGCTTCAGAACAAGCCCTGCCTGCTGCTCGGCAAGCCACGAAACTTCCTGGGCCTCAGTCTAAGAACTTCTTCAACTCTGCACAGAAACAGCGCTGGGGGTGTTCAGACTGCAGTAGTTGATGACCACTGCCCAACGTCTGTAACACTCAGACTCGGGAGAGCAGATAAAATCAGTTACCCAAAACAGGGCATGCGTGTTTTCACACGCACTCACTTCAAACAGGAGCCCTGACTCTTACATGGCATTGCTTCCCTCTAACTTGGGATCCTTGAGAAATTTTTACACAGGAAGACAATATTCTACATGAGTCTGCCTCAGCTTAAAAAAAATAAAAATAAAAAAGGCAGGGGCTGGTGCTGTGGCGTAGCAGGTGAGTAAAGCCACCACCTGTAGTGCCAGCATCCTATAGGGGTGTTGGTTCAAGTCCCAGCTGCTCCACTTCCAATCCAGCTCTCTGCGATGGCCTGGGAAAGTAGTGGAAGATGGCCCAAGTCTTTGGGCCCTTGCACCCAGGTGGGAAACCCAGAAGAAGCTCCTGGATCCTGGCTTCAGATCGGCACAGCTCCTGCTGTTGCAGCCAATTAGGGAGTGAACCAGTAGATGGAAAACTTCTCTCTCTCTCTCTCTCTCTCTGCCTTTCCCTCTCTCTCTCTGTGTAACTCTGCCTTTCAAATAAATAAATAAATAAATCTTTTAAAAAATGGCAGAATAAAATGCCATCAAGGGTTAGGACCCCACCAGGAAAAGAGCAGGGGACCTCTGCCCGTGCAGCTGCTCCTCTCACTGCCTCCCCTGGCACCCAGTTGGATCCTACAAAGAGGAGACTCCCTTCCCACCATCTGGGAGCACAGGTGACGAAGCACCCTGCCTTCTAAATCTTCAACTCCATGTCAGCGTTAGCGATGCATCTTCTAACACATGGAGCAAACCACAGCCTATATGCACCTCTACCCTTCACCCCTCCTTTACTTCTCCACGGAGCCAGCCTCAAAGAAGCCAGTCTGTGATTCTAGTGAGGCTGCAAGAGATTTCTTCCCAACAGACGCCATTAGAAAGGCTCTGGTTCAGCAAGGTTGCTGCTGGCTTCTCGCCACTGCTGAGAAAGCTGACATCGAAACACTACCCGCAGCCTTCGCCTCCCCAACACCGGAACTCGCCTAGAAGCCGGAGGGAAAGGCTCCAACACAAGCACCGTCCTTAGGGGCTAGAGCAGCAGCGGTGGGACCCGTCCCAGAACCCTGCAACTGCCGCTGAAAGGAACAGGCAAGGTGGATGCCGACCCCTTCATGGCAAGAAGCCGGGCGGCTCTAGATGGCGCACACCCAGCAGGCACGCGTTCCAGTGTGTTCAGTGAGTGACCACCGGTCCAAGCTCAACTGATGCTGAGCACAGGCGTATATTTAAATGCCTTTGAGGCCTGCAAATGCTATCACACAGCTCCAGAGAGGCGGGGATGAAATTCAAATTCTGATGTTGCCCCCTGCTTTTTTGCACTACGTCACAGTGGCCCCGATGGAATTCAGTCTGTTGCAGCGGAGAAGGGGAACACCAGCCACACCCTGAACACCACAGCGCGGTGGCAACCACACTCACGCTCCCCAGGGAGGGAGTGGGCGGTCGGCTGGTAAAACAACACGCAAGCCTACTTCACTTAAAGGACAAGAGTGAGGAACAAAACAAGGTTAATCCTGCGCAGCGTCTTGTCATGTTCAATCAAGCTAAAGGAAAAAAAGAATTTGTTCAATTTATGGTGTACGGCCTCCTTCTCTAATTATTTCTCAATCTACTGAATGCATTTCAGAATGCAATTTATCTGAGAGGTGACATACAAAACCACGCTGGACAGCAGCAGACACAGGAGTGTCTTGATTTCCTACTGAGACCAATTCTGAGAGCAGCAGAGTTTCTGCGCGGTGTGCAGGGAGCCACCCAGGTTCATTTTCAGAAACAAAGAGGAGTTCTCGAGGGCGCCCCCAAACCTGGAGACCCGCAGCACCCTGCTTCCGGACCCGGGGTGGGGGGGTATGCACAGGAGTAAGGCTTCAGATGGATTCTGACACCGCCAAAAACAACTGAGAAAAGGCACGTTTGCTAAGGCAAAAACAAAACCCCAAACGAGCAACTGTCATTCGTGCTAAGCCCTCAACCCGACTTCCTATCCAGAATTTATCCAGGTCACCGAATAAACTGACAACTGCTGAGGTGCTATGGCCTGCAATAAAAACCGGGCTGTTGAAAGCAGTTGCGATGAGGAGACGCTCAGCCAACAGTCACACGGCCTCCTGATGTGGGGGTTCGCGGAGCTCTCCGCCCAGAACTTTCCTCTGGGACGAAACACTGAACCAAGCAGATTGTTTCTGGAGATTAGAGGAGATGAAGGGCCCTTTGAGGTACAAATGACAACAAAACCTTTAATTAAAACTGTGCCTTAATCTGAAAGCAAAATGCCATTTTGCCTATCAGATGGGCAAAATTTGAAAAGAATGCAAACACCCAGTGTGCCAAGCAAGGGTGTGTGGAAATGGGCATTTCCCATACATTGTCAGTGAGAACATAAATCTTTTCAGTACCAGCAAAGCAATTTGGAAAGTCTTGGGAAAATAAGTTTCCTATCCATAAGGTCTGACTTCAAACATATAGCAAAAAGAGAAAATAGTATTTTAAGTCTCATCTAACTCTTCTCTCAGCTTTGACAGTTGCCAACTTGCAGCCAATTTTATTTTAACTAGTCTTCCACCCACTTCCTCTCTAGATTATTTTGAAGCAAAGCCTACACATTATATGTCTCACATATACCTCTAAAAGAAAGCAACTTTTATCATATCTAAAAGATTAACCACTCCTTAATATTGTCAAATATCCGGTTACAGTTACAATTTCCCCAACGGTCTCTCCCCCCCTTTTTTTACTGTTTTATTAGAGGGAGGATGCAAACAAGGCCCAGATCATCTATTAGCTGCCTTCCTCTTCTTTTTCCTTGTAATTTATCTGTGGGAAAAACAAGGCATTGATCCCGTAGAGTTCCTGTAAGCTGAGTTTTGCCAACTGCACTCTTGTTTTTGTTTTTTGTTTTTGTTTTTGTTTTTGTTTTTTTTGACAGGCAGAGTGGACAGTGAGAGAGAGAGAGAGAAAGGTCTTCCTTTGCCGTTGGTTCACCCTCCAATGGCTGCCGCGGCCAGTGCACCAAGCTGATCCGATGGCAGGAGCCAGGTGCTTCTCCTGGTCTCCCATGGGGTGCAGGGCCATCCTCCACTGCATTCCCTGGCCACAGCACAGAGCTGGCCTGGAAGAGGGGCAACCAGGACAGAATCCGGTGCCCTGACCAGGACTAGAACCCGGTGTGCCGGCGCCGCAAGGCGGAGGATTAGCCTAGTGAGCCGCGGCGCCGGCACATTCTTGTATGTCTTTTCACATCTTGCGTTCTGTCCGCCACGCTCTGTACACGCAGGTGCCTCAAATCTAGAGACTCCAGGGATTCAGGCTGGATTCTGGGGGACAGAATGCTTCGGTGTGGTAGAACTCAACAGCAAGTGCACAGTATCGGGGACACACATACAAAGGGCGGGCTGCCTTTCAGTGGTCCCCGTATGAAAACCGGTTGAAGGGTTACAGCTGCTACCACCCTGCACTACGACCCATTGTACAGTTCCACATCAGCTTCTTCCTGGTGACTTCAGACTGCTATGATAACCACTGCCCAGACCCGTATTTCATCAGAGGATGCAAAATGGTGGCTTTCCAAGTCAACCATCTCCTCTTCATATATGAGCTGGAACGTTTCTACAAAGAAACCTCCCTTCTCAAGTCACTGGTTCCCTGAGTACTGTCAGGGGAAAAGGCTGGGTTCTCTTCCTTCATTTACCAGTTTCTAGCACAACATGGGAATCCCTAACATCCTTAGAAAATGACTAATGAATTAACTCTTATAATATCAGTATGAACTTGCAGGTTTATATATACTTCAATCTATTAGACATTATTCTTTTTTACATTTTTAATGTAACTATTTTATTTAAAAGGCAGAGAGACAGAGAAGGAGAGAACCTTTCAATCTGCTGGTTTACCCCCCAAATGCCTATAGCAGCCCAGAGCTAAGCCAGACTGAAGGCAGGAGCCCAGAACTCCATCTGGTCTCCCACGTGGATGGCAGGGACCCAAGCACCCTTGCCTCTCAGGGTATTCCTTAGCAAGAAGCTAGACTGGAAGTAGAGTGGCTGCGAATCAAACCAGGCACCCTAAGATGGAATGTGGGCATCCCAAGCCGCAACTTAACTGCTGTGCTGAACACCTGTCCCCATTCATTTTTATAGATCAAACTGTCCTGTTCCAGCCCCTTCAAGTTACACCTGGAATTCGTTCCACTGGACGCCAGAAGTGAAGTTTTTAAAGCTCCCTTGCATTCTGAGAGGACAAGATGTTCCAAGTTCATCTGTACATTCCCTGCCCAGAGCCAGTTCTCCAAGGACAGCTGTAAAGCAGCCACAGAAGGGCATAAGGGATGCTGTAACTGACCTGATCATTGCACCCAAACCTCTTCACTGGCCAGAACTAGGAAGCAAGCGTTTTAAGAGAAAAAAAATCATCAGTTCATACTGACGTTCTGGTTCAAATCTAGGATTCTGGGGTTTTATTTCTCTTGGTTTTTGTATTTGTACTTTTTTCTCATAAGAAAACTTGGTTCTCAATTAACGTAAAACACAAATAATTTCTGTCTCTACCATTTCTCTTTGGGGAACATATTTATCCTAAGGAAATAATCTGATATTATATCCATGAAAATGTTCTTTATAGTAAGGAAAGATAAAAGAAATAACCTACACGTAACACAATAGTTGGTGAACATAAATAACAGTATACCATAATACATGTATACATATAATAATAATCCATTGCTTACTTGATAAAATCAATATGTATTCAAAGTGAGGTTTCTTTTGGTCAAATGTATGCTGAATTTGTTATAAAAATTATTAAAATCAAATAATTGGGGCGAGTGTTTGGTACAGCAGGGAAGACCTTGCTTGGGAAACCCCCCAGTCTACGAGACAGCCTGGATCAAGTCCCAGCTCCCAAACGCTGGATTCCAGCTTGCTCTAACACACACCATGGGAGCAGCAGATGCTGGCTCAAGTGGCTGGGTCCCAGCCACCCACACAGGAGACCAAAATTGAGTTCCAGGCTCCTGGCTTCAGCCTGGCTCATCCTGCCTATTGTGGGGCACCTAGGGAGTGAATCAGTGATGAAAGAACTCTATCTCTTGCCCTTCAGATAAAATGAAAACAAACAAATAAAAATGTAATAAGATAAAATAATCATAATTATTCAAGTTCTCACACCGCAAAGTACTGAAGTTCACTACCAGTCAGGAATGAATTCAATCCCAACTTATATAACAAAGGCTCTTAACTCACTCTCTCTACTTTTCTCTACTTTTACCAAATTTTAAAATGGAATTACACAGATCATCTACTAAAAGGAAAACAGCAGAAAGTGCCTCCTAAAGAGAATTTACTTATCGGTGGGTCATGGCACTCAGTGGGAGGGGTTAGTAACAGCCTCGCAGATGCGAAACTCCCCCTGGCTGAGCCCACTTGCCCTCGAGGCAGGACTGGCATCATGGGCTTTTGCCCCTTCTTTATCACCTCTGTGTCCTTTAGCAGCACATAAGGAAGTGGTGCTGACCCCAAGGCGCCCTTCATGGTCAAACAGGACACATTAGACATGGGGATGAAGGGAAGGCAACGTTTCAAAGGAAAACCAAGAAGGACCTCAGCCCTTCAGGACTCTTCAGAATGCAGAGGGTTGCCACCAAATGTATGCGTTAACCACACAGGAATGTTTTCTTCAATATTTAAAAAGAGAGCAAGTACAAAAATGTTTCCAACTTCCCAAAAAAGTAAAGATGCTTTTAAAACTCCTGGTTATTCTTTAAAACTTGGAACCAATAATCCGTTTGTATGCTTATTTTTTTACATTTCACTGACAAATCCCCTTTCATCACCAGGCTATCTCAACATACAGCGATCGGGCTTTGCTCATGGGATGTTATGAAGGGAGCAGAAGGTTCTTAGAGCACAGTGGACAGGGGAAGAGTACCACCCGGCGTATCGCCCCCACCCCACATCCATTACCTGCTGAGCTGCAGCATCTTGGACAAAAGCTACCTGGCCTGGGTCTGTAAACAGAGTCTAGACCAGAAAAAGAAAAAGAAGGAAAAAAAAAGTTATCAACAGATCTTGAGACAGTTCGCCCACTCGGGGAAACTTACCCTGCTGCTAAGCACCACCTCCTGGGAGAGCTAACTGCCACTATCGCCGGCAATCCTTCATTAACAGGGAGACAGAGATGGGGATCTTCCCAAGACATAGCCAAAGCCCTTCATTCACACGGCTCCAAGGAGCTGCTCTAAGCCAACCCTCCCAATCAGCAAACACACGCGGTGATGGACTCTTCAGCAAAGCCGCCCTTGAGGTTGAATGTCACAGCTAATTAAGGAGATGCATCACGAAAATTTAAAAACATGCCATCGATGAGGGTGCCTATCACCCAATGCTACTCACAAGGCGGGGCCTGTGACTGAATGGGAACGGACGGGCTACACGGACAAACAGGAGACTAGTACACACCTGGATCACAGCTCCCTCCCTTGTAAAGGCACGGTTGATATCAGAAAGGAAGCACTGACCTTCATGTTTCACAGGTTCTTTTAAGGATAAAGCCAGTAAAGGCATAAAAACAAAACAAAACTGGGAGGCTGGCATCATGGCGCAGCAGGCTAAGCCTCCGCCTGTGACACCAGCATCCAGTAAGGGCACCAGGTCAAGACCCAGCTGCTCCACTTCCAATCCAGTTCCCTGCTAACACACCTGGGAAAGCAGCGGAGGACGGCCCAAGTGCTTGGGGCCCTGCACCCATGTGGGAGACCTGGAAGAAGCTCCTGGCTCCTGGGCTTCAGACCGGCCCAGATCTGCCCATTTTGGCCATTTGGGGAGAGAACCAGCAGGTAGAAGATCTCTTTTTCTCTTTCTGTAATTCTGCTTTTCAAATAAATAAATAAATCTTAATAAAAACCTAATCATTATAAACAGTAAGTTGGGTCATGACGCAGCAAAGCTTACTGGAGGAGGAAAATCTTCAAAACTTACAGCCAGAGCATACACCTACTGTCTCGAACCCAGAAAAAAATGCTTTCTTCTAAAGCTTTTAAAAGGACTTTAATTTGCCCATACCTTTAATGAACCAACAGGAATAAGAACTGTGGTTGAGTTATGATTCCAGAGGAATGTAAATGAGACTTTCAGCCAAAGTCAGATTTCCTAGATTTAACATTAAAAAATGATCAGAATTTAGGTATTTAGGAAGATCATAATAAGCTAAAATTTGGGCACAGGGCATTCTTTACATACATTCTCTGATCTTATTTTAATACACTTAGGTAACTAAAACTAAGCAGAGGCATTCCTAAATCAACAGCTGTTTAACAATTTCATCTTCATATAGATTTGAAAGGTAATGGTTAGGTAGGCCTCATTTCTTCTTGGGAGTGATTTGAGCCTCTGGATTAAATATTACGTGAGGGCAAATTTTTATTACCAGGATCCTACAATGAAAGTATGGACTTTGTTTTAAAAAAAAAAAAAAAACGTGCTTTTTTTAAGATTTATTTATTTGAGAGACAGAGAGACAAAGACCTTCTATCTGCTGTAGAGGCTGGGCCAGGCTGAAGCCAGGAGCCAGGAATCCCATCTGGGTCTTCCACATCGGCGGCGGGGACTCAAGATTTGACCCATCATCTCTGCGTCCCAGGTGCATGAACAGGGAGCCGGGTTGGAAGTGGAATAGCCAGGACTTGAACTGGCCCTCCAGTACGGTGTGCAGGCATCCCACGCTGTGACTGACCCCACACGCTGTAAAGTGCTAACAACAGAAAGCAGCATCTAGGGGTAAACGTGTAGCCTAGCAGTGAAGACACATCCCACACTTGACTTCTAGGTTCAACTCCTGGCTCAGACTCCCAACTCCAGCTTCCTGCCAATTCAGAGCCCGGGAAGCAGTGGCAGTGGCTCAAGTCACTGGGTTCCTGCCACCCACAGTGAGGATCTGGCTCGTGTTCCTAGCTCCCAGCTGCTGCCCAGCCCCAGCTGTTGCAGGAATTTGGGGAAAACCAGCAAACAGAGAAGCGATCAATCTCGCTCTCGCTCTGTCTCCCTCTCTCTACCTCTCAAATAAATAAAGTTTAAAAAGAAAAATGACATTTATACATTAAGGGAAATTTGTGTGACCCACTTGGAAAACACTGCCAAAAGATAAAAGCAGCTATAACTGTACAGCTTTTATCAGTAAACGTCTCTGCATCTGCTATAATCCTACAAATCAGCAAGTTATTACAAATAGTAGTTAATAAATTAGTAGGACACTTTGCTTACATAGTTAACTAAAATAATCTGTATGTTTCTACTGAGTCCTCTCTGACAGAACTTCATAGAACTCAATGTCATGTTTGGCCTGAATCTTGATACTAGAGAAAAGTGACAAGTTCAAGGTCTAGTCAGTAGTCCTGGGGGGAAGAGCTGATACGAAGCCAGTGCTCTGACTCCTCAGTGTATTTAACCTGTAAATGAACCATCTCTCCTGCCAAGGTATCGGCTGCGTGGGAGCACAAACCTTACCTGAATATTTCCTTAACACAGGGACTGGCAGAGGGTGAACGTAAGTAACCGATAAAGTAATTCAGTAACAACCAAGTTTTAAGCAAATAATCCTTCACATGCCTGTGCAGCTTCCACTGGATGGATGTACACCAGCGTGTGCTCCGGCCCATCCACTGACGTGTAGGAGGCTCCATCTGCTGTGTACACCACCTGCTGGGGTGGCCGGACCTGGTCATCGGTGTAGACGATCTGAGCCACGGTTCCAGCGTCTGGGACGAAGTGCACCTGGGGCAAAAAGCAGGCATGTAGGTAGCGACTGTCCCTGCACCACAAAATCAGTCTCACAAAGGCACCCAGCCACCCAGCCCACGCGTGTTGCTGAAGAATCCCAGTGAAAGACAAACGGGGATTGATAACATCTCCAGCTATGCTGGGCGAGGGACTAGGAGGAAACCGGCTCCGAGGACCTTGTCACTAACTCACTGCTTAATGTGACTATCAAGCAACTCACTTAAATCCCCCATTGCCTCAAGCGTTCAACGCAGGTGATTCTTCTGGGAAGTCTTGGGTGGGGGTGGGAGGGTTAACTGGTCCTGGACAAGTGCCGGAAAATTCCCGCTTGGCAACACTTCCAAATATGAAACACCAGTGAAGGAGGACCCTGCGTTGGCAGTGAGGGAAAGACACAGAAGACTCCGACGAATCCTCTGTAGGGTTCCGGACAGCAATTTCCGCTGTCACCAGGCTAAGTAATTTTCTATCTTCCAAGACGTACAGGACCAAGGCAGCAACTGAGCTTTGCAAAAGACACTCTGAGTGGTCAGCTTTGGAGGACTGAATCCTTGAAGGCTGGAGCTTGGCGCACAGCCTGATGCCTGGTACCGAAGGTGGGGAAGCAGATGGTCTCCGTGCACATTGGGGACGGAAATAATCTATGCGCTGATACGGAAGTCAGGCTCTCTTAGGTTGGAATCCTTATTCTTATACTCACTCGCTTTGGACCTAACATTGTTATGGCAATTTTCTCTGGTGGGGACAGCAGATCTGAAGAATGACATAAACTAATTCAATCCTCAGAAAGAAATCTAGAGACCACACATAATCAAGCACCACAACCAACTTCTACCTCTGTACTGGGGGATTAACCTGGCATCCAGACACTTGATTGGCCTGTGAAGTTAAAGTCCGCATGCTGGGAAAAACAGGTTCATAAGGTGCTTGTATTGTTTTAACTTCCGCAAGATAATCAGTGACGTTCAATTTTTTTTTTCATCAACATGAAACCTTTGAGCTAATTTCAGTGCTTAAAAAAGGAAAACATGCTTTTCCACCTGGCATGCATCATTCAGATTCTACTAAATCAGAATTCCTGGCCAGGAATAAGGGGTGCCGTAGGCAATGCTGACCGTGGCTGTCTACCATCTGGCTACCCACACATGGAGACCCTGGTCACACGCAGTGTCACAGCCAGACTTCCTTTGGATTCGCTTTGCAATGGACTATATTTTTGTTGATAAACAAAATATGGCATATAGCTTCATATAATTTCATAAAATCATTCTCAATTATTCTGCTGAAAAACATCTCTGGGATTTTTTTTAAGTATTAAGACAGAATTTTAAATCGTACTATATTAATTTTATTTATCATAATAGTATATCGCTTACATTATGTGAGATTTATGTATTTAAATCTTTTTAACTTCTTGAGTTTGAGCATAGAACTGTGGTTATGTGGCTAATGAAAAATTAAATAAAAAGTGCATATTTGTAATGATATTTAAAAATTAAGTGTTATACTTTGGTCGCATTTATAAAATAAGTCTCCACATGACTGCTGACTCATCCCAAAGTTCAAAAGATGCAGCTAAGAACACGCAGCTGGCTGTGACGGCAAATCGAAAGGCAGACATCTCCAAGGACTGCAGCACCTGACCCAGTGACTGAGCGCCAGGGCTGCTGACTCAGCAAGGGACCGTTTTCACTTACAGGCTTCCGTTCTGAAGTTACAGAGCCTGGTACTTCATTACACACAAGAAATGGAAATCTAGTTAACATCAGAGCATGGAAGGAAGACAAACTACAGGTCGAGGTTTCTCAGCACCGGTGACACACATCAGAGCAGGGTAGTAGGACAGCGTGGGAGCGAGCGGCAGTAAGTTGCAGAAAAGGCAGAGAAGCCAACGGGCGGTGGCTTAGCTCTTCTCACAGCAAACTCACAGCGATCCACTCAGAGCACTGAGACAGTCCCCACGCCTACGTACAACAAGCAGGGTCCTCCAAAAATTCATGGAAAATATGTATTATGAGAAAGCTATGCAGAGATTTCAAAAGTGCACGGAGCAAAACAAGCCTTAATCCCATCTGCCCACAGAGTCTCTCATATTCGTGCTTTCATTTCCTTAGCTGTCAATCAAACCGTACTCAGCTAAAAACCTGCTATGGAGGCCCAGCTGGGAAGGTGCGGTCCTCACCTGGGCCGTGTTCTGTTCATGCTCCGTGGCTGTTGGCCACACAGGCGAGCTTTCATCTTTGGACTCCATCTTCCCCAGCGGGCAGCACCAGGGCTGGGGCACTACAGCAGCACAGGGGACAGGGCCGTCATCTGTCTGCCGCACCTGTGTTCACGAAGGACGAATGGGAAGTTCTCGCTGCAAGGCCCCTGAAAAACACAGAGAAAGAACCAAGACTTTAAGATGAATCCGTTTTTGTGTTTTTTGTTTTGTTTTTTAATTTTTTGACAGGCAGAGTGGACAGTGAGAGAGAGAGAGACAGAGAGAAAGGTCTTCCTTTTGCCACTGGTTCACCCTCCAATGGCCGCCACAGCCGGCGCGCTGCTGCCGGCGCACCACGTTGATCCAAAGGCAGGAGCCAGGTGCTTCTCCTGGTCTCCCATGGGGTGCAGGGCCCAAGTACTTGGGCCATCCTCCACTGTACTCCCTGGCCATAGCAGAGAGCTGGCCTGGAAGAGGGGCAACCGGGACAGAATCCGGCGCCCCGACCGGGACTAGAACCTGGTGTGCCAGCGCCGCTAGGCAGAGGATTAGCCTAGTGAGCCGCGGCGCCAGCCAAGATGAATCCGTTTTAACAGAACAAACAAAGGCAAAAAGACAAAGCTGTGCTGGCTGCGGCTGTGTTATGGCACAGCAGGTTCAGCAGCCACTTGCAATGCCAGCATCCCATATCAGGGCGCCAGTTCAAGTCCTGGCTGTTCTGCTTCCAATCTTCCTTCCCTGCTAATGCACCTGGGAAGGTGGCAGCAGATGGCCCAAGGATCTGAGCCCCTGCCACCCACATGGGAGACCAGGATGGAGTTTCCGGTTCTGGGCTTTGGCATGGCCCAAACTTGGCTGTTGCAGCCATTTGGAAGTGAACCAGCAGATAGAGGATCTTTCTCCCTTTCTCTGTCTCCTCTGGTATCTTTGTCATTCTGTTTTTTAAATAAATAAATAAATCTTTTTTGTTTTTTTGACAGGCAGAATTATACAGTGAGAGAGAGAGAGAGAGAGAGACAGAGAGAAAGGTCTTCCTTTTTCCGTTGGTTCATCCCCCAAGTGGCCGCTACAGCTGGCGCTGCGCGGATTCAAAGCCAGGAGCCAGGTGCTTCTCCTGGTCTCCCATGCAGGTGCAGGGCCCAAGGACTTGAGCCATCCTCCACTGCACTCCCGGGCCACAGCAGAGAGCTGGACTGGAAGAGGAGCAACTGGGACAGAATCTGGCGCCCCAACCAGGACTTGAACCTGGTGTGCCGGCGCCGCAAGGCGGAGGATTAGCCTGGTGAGCCGCAGTGCCGGCCATAAATAAATCTTTTAAAAATAAATAAATTCAGGGGCTGGCGCTTTGGCGCAGCAGGTTAATGCTCTGGCCTGTGGTGCCGGCATCCCATATGGGCACTGGTTCTAGTTCTAGCTGCTCCTCTTCCAATCCAGCTCTCTGCTATGGCCTGGGAAAGCAGTACAAGAGCCCCTGTACCTGCGTGGAAGACCCAAAGGAAGCTCCTGGCTCCTGGCTTTGGATCAGCACAGCTCCAGCTGTTACAGCCATCTGGGAAGTGAATCAGCAGATGGAAGACCCCTCTCTCTCTGTTTAACTCTGACTTTCAAATAAATAAATCTAAAAAATAAATACATTTTTTAAAAAAGCTCTGTTCAAAGCAACACATCTGAGCAAAAAGGTAAAAATGAAGAAATTATTTGTAAGAATAATACAATGGGGGCCAGCGTTGTGGCATATTAGATAAAGCAGCTACCTGCAGTGCCAGCATCCCATATGGGCGCCGGTTCAAGTCCTGGCTGCTCCACTTCCAATCCAGCTCTCTGCTGTGGCCTGGGAAAGCAGGCCACAGTGCTTGGGCCCCTGCACCCACGTGGGAGACCTAGAGGAAACTCCTGGCTCCTGGCTTTGGATCAGCGTAGCTCTGGCCATTGTGGCCATCTGGGGAATGAACCAGCAGATGGAAGACACCTCTCTCTCTCTCTCTCTCTCTCTCTCTCTCTCTCTCTACCTCTGCCTTTCAAATAGATAAATAAATATTTTAAAAAAATAAAAGTACATATGAACTTAGAATTTTTTGCACCAAAATAAACATCATTTAATCCTTTTCCACAAATGTTTTTGAAGTACTCTCACACATTTTATCTATCATGTAATATTACATATTGTGTGTGCATATATATATGTGTGTATATATATTATATATATGTATATAAAATACAATCTTCATCCTGGAGAAAGGGTAACCTGCAGGCTAACTGCAGGCAAGGGATAGTCTACTGCTACACAGCTATTGCTCTTGCCTGGCTGACACTGACCTCCTATACCACCTTTACTCAGAATGAACAGTAGGATCATCTCCAAAACAAGAAAAATGGCCCAGGTTTCCCAGCAAACCCGTGCAGAAATTATCAGTGACCTAATTAGAGGTGGGTGTGGTGGTGCACAGGTGACGCCCACATCCCAGATAGGAGTGCTTAGTTCAACTATTCACCTGCCAATCCAGCTTCCTGCTAAGGCGGTCCTAGGAGGAAGCAGCTGGTGCCTCATTACTTGGGCCCCCGCCACCCACGTGGAAGACCCAGATGAAGTTCCTGGTTGCTGGTTTCAGCCTGGCCCAACACTGACTTTTGTGGGCATTTGGGGAGTGAACCATCAGACGAAAGATCTCTATCTCTCTGCCTTTCAAATAAAAAAATAAACTTAAAAAAAAAAAGTCTTACTAAACATGAGCAGGCACAAGATCCACATCTCCAAAGCTTCTTCATTTCCAAAGGAATTTTAAGGTAATCAATCATCCATTCGAATGATGAAAAATGCTGACATTTTAAAAGCCACGTGACAGGTTAACAGGGCAGCAGCCAGGCCTGATGCACCTCCCCCCACCCTGCCATCACAGTAGCGTGCGCAGATAAGAAACACTGTAATTGCTCGCTATTGAGAAAGATCACTATCTGAGATCTGCTCATAATTTTCCTCATTATTAATGCAAATAAGCTGGGAAGCATATTCCTGGACCACACATGCTCCAATCTCTGAACCAGAATAAAGCCCAAGGAAGAAAGAAAAGATGCTAAGGGGCTGGTGCTATGGCGTGATAGGTTAAGCCTCAACCCGTGGCACCAGCTTCCCATATGGGCGTCAGTTCCAGTCCTGGCTGCTCCACTTCTGATCCAGCTCTCTGCTGTGGCCCTGGAAGGCAGTGGAAGATGGCCCAAGTCCTTGGGCCCTGCACCCGCACGGGAGACCAGGAGGAAGCACCTGGCTCCTGGCTTCAGATCAGCGCAGCACGCCGGCTGTAGCAGCCATTTGGGGGGTGAACCAATGGAAGGAAGACCTTTCTCTCTGTCTCTCTCTCAATGTCTAACTCTGCCTGTCAAAAAAAAAAAAAAAAAGACATCAATCTATTCAATTAAAATGCATGAATTTTATCAGACATGAGTTATAACTTATTAAATATTTTAATAGATTTTTATAGAATTCCTTATATAGCAGTATTATTTAAACATTCACAAAAAGATATTCAGGGTAAGTTTCACATGATATGTAAACTATACTCAACAAAGCCATTGGAAAAAACATCATCTAAAAATCCAAAATTAATAAATGCTGGCGAGGATGTGGAGAAAATCCATTGCTGGTGGGCATGTAAGCTAGCATAACCATGATGGAAGGCAGTAAGGAGATTCCTCAGAGATCTGAAAGCTGATCTACTATATGACCCGGTCATCCCACTGCTGGGAACTGACCCAAAGGATGTGAAGTCAACGTATGAAAGGGTTATCTGTACCCCCATGTGTACGCAGCTCAGTTCACAATAGCACATATAGCACATACGGAATCAACCCACATGTTCATCAATGGATGACTGGATAAAGAAAATAAATGGGAGACAAACACACACACACACACACACACACACACATGCAGGAATATTACTTAGCCATAAAAAATAATTAAGTCCTGTCTTGTGCAAGAACACGGATGCTACTGGAGACCATTATGCTTAGTGAAGTAAGCCAATACCAAAAAGACAGATATCATGTTTTCTCTAATAAGTGACAGCTCATGTATAGCCTACAAAAAATGTAGATGAGTGAAACTGACATCTTGAAATCTGCTTATTGTTTATAGCCCTTTAGACTCCTGAGGAACAGTGGTCTACTTTCTACTTGTTGAATCTTTATTTAGTGGACCATTAAGCCTGTGATTATAAAGCAAATTGGAAGTATGTTCTCACAAAATTAAAAGAAAAATAAGAAAAGAAGGGAGGGTGGGGGTAGAAAGGGAAGGTGGGAACTATCATTATGTTCTTAAAACTGTTCCTTTGAAATACATGAAGTCTGTTCTTTGTATATATATAAATAAATATATTTTAAAATACAAAAACTAGGAATTAAGGGTCACAAATAATATAAAGATTTATATGAACTATAGAATTGTACAAAATAACATAAAAGTCTCAGTAATTACAAAATAATACATGTTCCAGGTAGAAAGCTTTTATTTAATGAAAAGTTTTTAATTTGAAATAATTTCACACTGAAATGTTGCAAAAATAGTACGAAGAATTCCTGTATTTATTTGCTCTGAGTCACCAAATGTTAACATTTTGCCATGCTCACATTATTTTTCTTTCTCTCTTTCTCATCTTTATTTAACCTGAATCATTTGAGAATAAATATCAGCCACATTTCCCCTTTACCCTAAATTCTTAAAATATGAACATTTTCTTTTTTTTTTTTTTTTAAAGATATTTATCTATTTGAAAGGCAGAGTTACAGAGAGGCAGAGGCAGAGAGAGAGAGGGATCTTCCTTCTGCTGGTTCACTCCCCATCTGGTTGTAATGGCTGGAGCTGCACCAATCCGAAGCCAGGAGTCAGGAACTTCCTCCGGGTCCTCCCAAGCGGGTGCAAGGGCCCAAGGACTTGGGCCATCCTCCACTGCTTTCCCAGGCCATAGCAGAGAGCTGGATCGGAAGAGGAGCAGCCAGGACTAGAGCCACCGCCCACATGGGATGTCAGTGATGCAGGCGGCAGGTTTACCTGCTATGGCACAGCGCTGGCCCCAGAACATTTATTTATAAACACAGAACTATCATCAAAATCAGGGAGGAAGTTAACCTTAAAACAACACTATTTCATTGACAGACCGCATTCAAATTTTGT